TTGTATACGCGGTAAAATTGCCCCGAAATGCTCAATATTTTTAGATTTTCTCGAAGATATTTGATTTCCAAGTTGGTAAAATGGGAAGGCAGTATCAAGCAGACAGTTTTAGTGTTTGGGGGTTTTTTTTGACAAAAAGCTAATAAATTTATAAATTATTCTGATGTTAAACATTATATTTTAACTAGTTATAAGCATTTCTTCTTTCAAATGTGTTATTTTTTTTAAAAACACGTTTTAAGAAAATCTGGATCATTAAAACCGGACCAATTATGAAAACTCCAAAATAATTGTGTATTTTCTGTCACCTGGAAAATACATGTATAACTCTATTCTAGTTATTTGTTGGATGATTGAATTTCAGTTTAATTGATATAAAAAAAAATTAAATATTTTGATAATTACAAGTATACCCTTATAAATTGAGTTGTTTTTCTGGACCCCTATATATTCTTCCACTGAACTGACATTTCTTATTTCAGGATAATAACTGTTCATGCGCAGTCGCGTGATTCTGGCACCGGGGCTAGTCTGGTTTCGGCGAACCCATAATGCTCTGCAAAGTAGTGCGGAACGTCATGGGTAGGCGTGGCCGGTACCAGGCTAGACCGGGGCATACTAGAAACTTCCTCTTTTTTTTTTTTAAAAATATGTATTAATTTTTTGTATAGAAATAGCACTTTTCAATAAAGAAATAAATATCTCTAGTAAGCACACAGTGTTTGACATCAGAATAACTCAAAAAATTAATTTGTCAATGTCTCGTTTGGCAAAAAATACGTAAAATGTCGGCTTGATATTGCCTACCCATCTTAGCAAATTGGAAATCAAAAATCGCCAAAAATAACCTAAAATATTGAGATTTTCAAAATATAAATACATGAATATATATATTGGCAATTTTTACAGTGAATACAGATAAAACTTAGAGACGTAGCATTGTTTTTGAAAGGGGCAGCCAGAGAAAAAAAATAACTTACCTAAAAATCTTGACAAACAAAAAAACAAAAACAAAAGAAACGAAAACAAAAAGAGGAAACTCGAAAATTCTATTTGTGGGGAGGGGGGTCCATCTTCTTTCAGTACCAAAATTTACTCATACATCAGTACGTACATGGCCCTTATTTGACTAGACTTCAACAAAAAGTGGGAGGAGGGGACAACCAGACTTTCATTGAACATTTTCAGTAGTAAAAAGTTACGGCTAGAAAAATGTTTGGTGGCCAGCCCCCCCCCCCCCCCCCCCCCCCCCCCGCTACCGGTGTTATATAGTGAGACTTCCCCCATAGTGAGTCTTCCCCTCCGGGGTGGGGGGGATGTCTATATAGTGAGCCTTCCGCCCTAAACGACCAACGACCATAGTGAGACTTCCCCTTCCGTGTTTGGTTTGGATTTTATTTACATTGACGATGTATATATTGCATATTTAGGAATTGATCTTTTATATATATATATATATATATATATATATATATATATATATATATATACATATATATATATATATATATAAATAAAACATGTATCGTTTCAAATGAATCAGTATAAAAGTGCGCAATAAAAATTTATCGTGCACAGCAGATTATTGTATTGTTCCGAGACGATTCATATCAAAAGAAAAAAGACATAATTAGTTTAACAGTAAAGAGGTCATTACCCATAGACACGTGCAGTTTACCTATTTTTACCTGCATGATTAAGATGTTTTGACTATAAAAATCACTATTAAAATGTTTTAATTATTTATTCATATATTTATTTATTCATTCATATAGGACGGAGAACTTTTATCCAAACACTGAAAACGTCAGTATAAAAACATTGTTTTACAATTAAAAAAAAATATTTGGAAACTAAATTAAAGGGGGAAGTTTCGCTATGAAGGGGGAAGATTGACTATATAGTGAGACTTTCCCCCGAAGACTGGCTATATAGTAAGACTTCCCCTGGAGAAGTCTCACTATATAGCTAGTCTTCCGGGGAAGTCTTACCATCTAGCCAGCCTTCAGGGGGAACGACACCGGGTACATGCCTGAACCTATAACATACATGTACATCATTTGAAAATTTAGGTTCGATTGATAAAGTATTAAGGTAGAAAATTGAAAAATCACTGATAACCCCAGCCCGGGTTTGCATAACTAATTTTACCAACACTTGCAGTGAACACCCTGCCACCTAGCGTTATAATGCCGCATTAAATTCACACAATTGTATTCGTCTTCGTTGAATGCGCTTCATGGTTTGCGTGACTGAATTTACATTTGTAACAGAGATGATCATAATTATTTATTAAAGAAACTGTATCAATTTAAAAGAAAAAAGAACGAATTTACAAGAATAAAGCAACATAGAAGTAAGGACAAAATGAAGAATGAAAAAAGTTCAGAGTGAAATGTAACAAAGACGAATGTGAAAACAATAAAGTGACATATAGTTACAATAATAACAAAGAATAAAGAAGTAGGCAGAATAAGAATAAAAGCAAGATAAATAGACTTTTGGCGGTAATTCCCTTCCATACTACATGGGTCACACAGGTAAATAGCTCTCGCTTGCTATAGGAAAATTATTGAACTTTTCATACATTTTAATGCTTAAAGCTGTATCATGCTATATATGGCGTATCTGAGCTAAAAAATAAAACTATGAGATTAAGTGTAGATAAACATGATATATGTTATTTACGTTCAAATTAAAATTTTCACCAATTTGAACTTGAATAACTTCATGTTTCCTTAGTTAAATTGACTTTAAACTGTGTCTGTTATTTAAATGGGGAGTGGGTAAATAAATCCGTTGTTTTAAATTTCTAATATCTTTTAAAGGTGATTGATTTAAATGGTGTAATTTACAGGAAAGTCCAATCTTTATATAAAGTGATTAAACATGTAACAGGAGAGGAGAAAAATGCAACGGACCAGACCAGGATTCGAACCTGAGCCCCTTGAATCTCGATCCAGTCAGATGCTCTACCAACTGAGCTATCTGGCCATCGGCGATTGAACCCTTCTGACCGCCACAATCCTCCCTCCTTAAAGGTCTTCGACCCTGAAGACATCTACCCAGGCTCTTCCCTGGCAGGTCTTTCACCTGTCACTTCCAGGGCATGGCACGGCACCAATTGTAATGAATGAGGAGAAAAATGCAGCGGACCAGACCGGGATTTGAACCCAGGCCCCCTGAATCTCCAGTCAGGTGCTCTACCAACTGAGCTATCTGGCCACAGGTGATCAAACCCGTCTGACAGCCACAAACAAATAGAAAGATCTTTTTAATTTTAGTTAGTCTGAACTTATAAAAAATATGCCATATATGACTTTGAGATAATATGTTTGCATGTATCTATATTTGATTTTATGAAAAACCAGGGCCCTCGATTCTCTATAACTGGGGCCATTGAACGGCCCCATTCCCAATGCAAAAAAGGTACCTTTTCTTCCAAATTCTAAGTGTAAATTTCCTAATTCTTTATGGCAAAAAGTTTTTTTTATAAAATCTTAATCGATGAAACTTAATCGCCACCAAATGAAAGTGAAACAAACTAGTTCTGCATTGAATTGTATAAATTAGTGCATGCCACCTATATTTGTAAGCTGATTCAGCTTCAGTAAGGAACTAGTGGATCTTTTCACAAAAAATCTTACGACATATTTTTATCTTAAGTGAAAACTTATGATAAAAATCGTTTTCTCAAAAATTCTAAAGAAAGTCGTAAGTGCAAAATCTTTCGTAACTTTAAGTGTTTTAAAACCGATTTTATTGAAAAAATATAACCGCAAAAACCAAAATACACGTTAAATTGAACTTTGTAAAGCAACTTACAATAATATTTTATATTTTTTATACAATAATTGTCGAAAAGTTAAGTGAATTACACTACAATATATTTACGATGTAAGTTTCACTTATGACCTTTTACGTCAGACTTGTGATTGTGACATCAGATTTTAAACTTCCTTGCTTCATAAACGATTGCATTCAATATTTGTTGTCAATAATGTTTGTACGCTGACAAATGTTAAAAGCTAAGTTTTATTTTTATTTGCACCCACTTATTTAAGGATTATAAAGCATATTGAAGTTGTTGCTAGGGATGAAGTCTGTCGTAGGTAAAATCTTAACTTCAATCTGCTACGAATGCGTTTGTGAAACGCACTTAAGATTTGTCCTAAGAAATTCTTAAGTTAAAATCTTACACAAAAACTTGAGATTTTTTGTGAAAAGGGCTACTGGTTTTCCCAATTTTCCCCAAAATGACGAAAAATTTCCCCAGTCCCAAAAAGTGGTGTGAGAGCCCTGAAAACAGGAAGGAGAATTGGGTGTCACACTTGTCGTTTTGGGCAACCAATTTTTACATTAAGATAAGTCAAAATTTGAGTTCATTTGCCCAAAGTGGGTTTGAATTTAATGAATGTTTTTAAATGTCTATCTGTGAAACATATTATAAACACCTAACGTAACATTTTAACAAAGAATACTCTATGTCAGCTAAGTTTTGCAACTGAATAATCTGTATTCCTTTCAAAGGAGTGAATAGATATGGCCTAGATCATGATCATCGATCAGGCTTTAAGTTTAAACTGAGGAGTGTTTTTAAACTTAAAGCCTGTCCACTTCAGTCTTTATTAGCCGGATAGCCTGTGACCCTGACGTATAACATTTTGCTATTAACTGTACCCATGAATTGACTGTCTAAAAATGCAATTAGCCTTATGACATGTATGAAAAATATGAGAAAAACGGAAGGGTAATAACTTACCATTTTTTTAAATTATTATTACGGTAAACTTTCATAAGCTTCACCGGAAGTTTATTGAATAGAGAACCTAAGGGTTTGGGATATGTAGCTCTCAGTGTACGAAATTGTTTCAAGGGAGAATCTTGTAAAATTATTGAATTTCTGAACAGTTTGCAAAATTCTGATAAGGGTTACTGTAAGAAAAAAAATAAAATCATGACATTTCTTTTCTATTTGTGTCTATCATTAACCTCTGTCATTTATTTTCCCTTCGTTTCTCATTGGTACCAACATGGCGGCTCGCTATGAGGATCCGTATCGTCCCACAAATAACGGGGCACAGTGGTCCTATAGCAGGTAGATTCACGTTAGAACACGAAAAAGTTTTTTTTTCAAACAATTTTAAATAATCAACATAATATTTTGATTGTTTGTGCAAATCAAAGTTGCAGTTGAATATGATATCAAAAACATCCAGAATTTCCTCGTTTTGCAAATTGAATTTTACAATACTTTAGAAAGTGAAAGTAGTCAGTACTCACACCACTAAGCTCTATAATTTCCTATTAAAGGACTTATCGCATGTTTCTAAATTATTTTAAATTAAAAGCGTAAAACGTTCCTTATGACCACAGTTTATAAATTTTGTGTTTTTACTGCTGATAAACCACGGTAATTAACCAATTATTGACTCAAATGGAAACCCCTGAATTAAAAATCTAAGTTAATTAGATAGCGATCACGTGACCCTGTGACGTCAAAGGCGACAATGGCTGATCAGCTCTTCACGTAAATATTACTAAAATATACGCGATACAACCTGAATTTTCTGCGTTATGGATGACCAAATCACTGATTTTATCGATATGAAATTTCATATCCAACCTTATATTTTAGAATTGTCAGCAAGAAATAATTTGAAAAATCTGTTAACATTGTAAAAATAGCAGTGACGATAGCGAAGGAGACGCGGTGAAGACGAAGAAACTCGCCATCACAATACAATTTGATTTGTCATTTTATCACATATATTAACTTATTTGATTCACAAATTTAATATATCATAACAGGGGTAGACAAATAGAATTTTTCAGTACTTGCCCTCGGACAGGTTACCATCGTAAAATTACTTGTCCTACCAAAAAAAATGCTTGTCCCACTTTTTCTTAATTAACATAAAATTAAAGCATTATCGTTAAACATTAAATTATTTCTCAACTGATACACTACATGGGACCAAACTAGACATAAAATCACTTAATTTTTTGCACGGAAAAAATTAGGGGTAAGTCTTGTTCCAGGGAGATTTCTTAGCTTGTGCAGTGCGCATAATTTAAACTTTTCTCTGTATTACTTTAACATCCCCAAGATACTGAAAGAGAAAAAAAATTTTTTTTTGAATATTATAAAGCATTTGATTATGAAAACCACCACTGCATGTCGATTGTGACTTTCAGTGATCGCCAGTCAACAGCTCCAATTTTAATATCAGTATAACACGTTTGTACTCACAGCATGAATTTTTACATTATTTTTTACAATACCTAAAAAGGTCTAAAATCCTCTTCAACTTTTTTGACATGGAATCGATAGCTGCTATGTTTTTAAGTCCTGTGTGTATTTTAACTACACATAAATGGGTAAATTCTAGAGGAGTTCCGACCGAGTATTCGATGTAGTGATGAACAGCAGCGAAAAACAGGTGCTCTACTGTGATTCATTACATTTCAACAGCGATAAAACAAACAACATTTGATTTTTTTGTTAACTGGAGAAGCACTTGTCCGCGGGCAGGTACCACTTATCAAATAACTTGCCCGCCAAACAAAATTGGTTGTCCCGGGCGTCGGGCAATGCTATTTGTCTAGCCCTGCATAACTTTTTTATTCTTCGTTTTTAACATAATATTAATTTATGCAAGTATGCTTTCATATGTTTTGTAAAGGATGGCAGTCTTGAAAAATAATTTTCCGATCACGAAACATTGCCGTAATCAGACCTACAGATTCTAAATGTTGGGAATAAAAAAACGAAAATATCTCAAAATTCTTATACCTTAGGACTAGTTAATGTTTCTATAGTAATTGAAAATCATGGTAGAAATTAATTTTTTCAGCATTTTTCATAATTAAGCTGCATTTGTCGTTGATAACTTCGTAAATAGTGTGCAACTTCTCATCTCTCTATCACTGAATTGTCGCCTATGACATCAGAGCAGTATTTTGCCGAAATCCGACTGAAATATGCATATTGCCGTATTTGAATTTCAACTCTTAATATCTCTTAAAATATGCTTTCAACAACGTTTATTGTATTCAGAATTTTAATAAACAAGGTTGTAGATAATATTTTTCATAAAATTAAGATTTTTGAAAAATCATGTGATAAGTCCTTTAATATAAACAATAAAATCCTTGCATTCTTTCTTTGTGAATGCAGTGATAACAGTTACATCATTGCAGAAAAAATACATAACCTAAGCGGATTTTATGCAGGTTACGTAAATTTTTTTCTTCAATGATCTCAATCATTTTGTAGAGCCATGATGCAGAGTCCAAGTAGTAATGGATCAAGGCCACAGAGTAATAGCAGTGTAGTGAGTGAACGAGGGCCTAGGACCAGTGAGGATGTATGTATTGGAGAGGAAGTCAGGATTTCTTTACATCTAGCAATTGAAAGATTTAGAAGAAATGAAGACCAAAAAGGTACAGAAAGTGTTTTGAAAACTGACATTATTCTGAATATATGCCTTTGTCAGTTTTACCTGGTAAAGAAAATGTTCAAAATTGATCATGTTGAGATGTGTATGGTTTCTAGAAATATACTGTGGACAGATTGACTTAATCTTTGTTGTTATTTTCTAGAGTTGGAATTTCCTTCATCCTTATCAGCCACAGAAAGAGCATATGTACACAGATACTGTGATACAGTTGGTCTAAAGCACAAGAGCAAAGGGTATACTTTTCTGAAAATTCCTCAAAAATCCACCCAATTACTTTCAGAAGGATGGGGACATTGTATCAAAATGTCAAATATATCATTTGAAACTATTAAAACAGTTGAGACATTTATATATTTTTTATTTCCCCATTATACCATGTATATATTGAACTTTTGTAAAATATTGTTAGAGAATTTTGTTTGATAATCACAATGCAGGTGTAGAAGCATGGCTTATTTTGAATATTTAGAACTTTCATCAATAGTTTTAGTAATTTGTGTCCAGTATAGATATATATATATATATATATATATATATATATATTTATATATATATATATCTGTCTGTTTAGATTATCTTCTAACTTCAAACAAAGGTAAATCAGGATGCTGTGTTTTAAATACATTGTACTTCATTTTGTAATTGACTTTTTACCTTGGAATTGGCAATACATGTAATATGTTTTGTATCTTTTTAAAGGGTCATAATGCTTATTATGAATACATGTATCATAATAAAATTTACACATAGGTATAGCTAGATGAGATGATTTACATACCCTGGTATATCTACATATACCACAGTTAGAGTTGAATTACATTGGTCTTGACATTTGATTTCATTACTGGTAAAATGAACTCTTTAAAAGATATCCTTTGTTAATGGTCTTTTTTGATTACTTTAAGTACTTGTAAATGCATGTAAATTAGGATGAGAGATTTATAATCAATAAGGCAAGTGTTGTAGATGAGTTCTTGTCCAATAGCCAATTCAACTGAATTCCTTTTCTAGTAAAGAAAATTTGTCGTAATATTCAATGAACAGAGATAATGAAGCAAGCTTTGTACCCTCTGATTGCACAGATACCAATATTTCTGATGGTCATGATTCGGTTTCAGAAAAGGCAACAATAGAATATTGACAATCTCAAAAAAGGAACTGAATCAAACCCAGGCATCAGCCTCATCAGTGAAAATCATCAGGAATTCCAGACAACAGATATGTAACCTGCTGCAGAGGTTTCCTCTTACTACCAAAGAAAGACAAGAACTGATGCCACAGATGGAAAGAAGTCAAGCATTTGACAGTAAGTTTGGCAAGAATCACACTCTTGACTGCACCTACACAGTATGTTTGTTTGTAATTTTTGCTTTGATCAATATTTTGGCAACATGCATTAAGTTTAAATATAAAGTCTAGTTCAAATGTCAGAGTAAGAATGTAGATAGTCAGAATGTATGTGTAGATACTTTCACCACCCTTTTTTAAGCGTTTCATTTCAATTTATGTGATATTGTATGTTAAGTAAATTTGATATATATATATATTTAAGCCAGCAGAGAGGCTGCAAAAGCAACTATTGGGAAACTGAATAATGGAGTAGCACAGGTTCCCCCTCCCCGAGCTAGTACAGAGTTGGATGCCTTCAGGAACACATTGCCTGTCTTCAAACACAAAGAGGAGATCATTCACAGTATCAGCTCCAACAGAATTATTCTAATCACAGGAGAAACTGGGTCAGGGAAGACAACTCAGGTAATTTTTTTATGTTTCTGCCATGAAATGACCTGGGCATATAGTGTTACCCCTTTCTGACTGTCATTCCAACATTCTGTCATTCTCTCATAGTTAGTTTTTACGGACATTTTCTTTATGCTTGTAGATAATGAGCTGATACTTCATTTTTATCATTTAGAGAGCATGTTAGGTCAAAAGAGTAAAACCTTAACAGAATCTGCACTGAAACTGAACACAATGAATAAATTCAAACTTTGGTGGATATCATTAATATTACATATTCCATTTGAATATTTTTCTGCTTCGATATTTGAGGAAGAAATACTTGGAAGTAATCGATTATTAATCGATTATATCTTCCTAAGTAATGGATTACAATCGATTACAGGACAAAAATGACTGTAACTGTGCCCATGCCTGCTATGAAGATGTGCTCATTGAAATTCTTTTTAAATGAATATTTTTGAAACTTTTATATTCAATAGATTCCACAGATGATTTTGGATGATTGTACAGTGAATAACAAAAGGTGTCGTATACTCTGCACTCAACCAAGGAGAATAGCTGCACTCAGCATAGCAGAGAGAGTTTCTGCTGAGCGAGGGGAGAAAGTAGGACAGACTGTGGGATATCAAATCAGACTAGAGAGCAAGTAAGACACATGGCAACAAAAAAAGTTACTTAAAAAATACATGCACATCATATTAATAATGGTCAAGAAAATTGAAAATTGCTTGTTTACCTGAATTTTTTTTTTTTTTACCATTAAGCAGTGGTATCTACATGTATTCATTTATAAGTACATTTAGATACAAGTATAAAATTAAAATCATCTTAGAGATTATGTGATAGGGATGGGTATTGTCAAAAATTTGGCATGATATTTCTTGATTTTTTTCCAAAAATATCACGATGATATATTTTTACATCCAATTTTTACCATGATTTTAAATCAATTTCCATATTTTTTCTAAGAAATATGTTGTGAAAACATGACTTTACTCTTTTCATTTTTATTTATATTATAGCATGTTTGGATGCTAGGATGCCATAATTTTACTGTTTTACAACGTTTTCTTTTTTATAATTCTGGTAACAATAAAATGGTATACTGATAAAAAAGTTCTTGTTATGGTGCTCTTTTGAAAGATGTAAACATAAAGATGTAAATGAAAATTTTCTAGGGTATCTCCCAAAACTCTTCTTACATTTTGCACCAATGGAGTCTTGTTGAGAACTTTGATGAATGGAAGTCATTCTTTGTCAACTGTTACACATGTCATAGTGGTGAGATTTGAGTTTTATGGTATTGAATAATAGTGAATCAGAATTCCATTTGTATTTTAAGTTATCAAGGCCAAAATCTTTTTTAAAAATATATTTATTTTATGTTAACAAGGCCAAGATTCTGTAAATACCAATGAAAAAAGGAGGAACAAGTAATTATATAAAAATAAATGAGATGAAAGACCAGTTAAAAGATGTACATACATGTACATGTATGTCAGGCTTTACTAGAGTGCTTTGTTTTATACGGTACATGTACTTTCTTACTAGGATGAAGTTCATGAGAGAGACAGATTTAGTGATTTCCTTCTCACTGCCATTAGAGACGAGCTTCCTAAGTACCAACAAATGAAGCTCATTCTAATGAGTGCCTCAATGAATGTGGACTTGTTCATCAGATACTTCAACAACTGTCCTGTTTTAAGATGTATGTTTATTTACTTCATAAGTCCACATATTTAAGAACATAGTTTGAGATCCAACATAAACAGTATATGCTTATGTATGTACGGGTTGTTTATTCAGTATTTGTATGTAAACTGAATTTTTGTCACTTCAGTCCCTGGAAGTCTATTTGATGTTGAAGAACATTTCTTGGAGGATGTGCTGAAATGGTAGGAACTTTTTGAGCATTTTTAGGTCACCTATGTCACTCAGGTGACCTATTTCTGTTTTTGTCCATCGTCATGTGAAGTGCATTGTCCTTTGATTATAAACTTTTGAACATTTTCAGCTTCTTCTAATAAACTACTAAACCAATTTCAACAAATTTTGGTATAGAACATCTATGGACAAAGGGGGACAAAATTGTGAATTTCATAGTCCCTGCCCTCTTGAGGCCTGAGGGGTGAGGCCAAAATTAATGCAATTTTCAAAATAACTTCTTTACTTCTGGACATAAACAGTTAAACTGTTGGCATGATTATAATAAGCATAATAAGCACTAAGTCCTCTACCAAAATTGTGAAATTCATGACCCTGGGTCATGGGTTCTAGAGTTAGGGTGCGGCTCTATTGATCATACAGTGAAAATGCATACATTTTTAAAAAGCTTCTTCTCGCCCCCTGTATATTTAGCAGACAAAGTAAATTTATTGTTATAATGAACAAGAGTGACTTTTCCAAGATTGTGAAATTCATGGCCCCTGGATCAGAGGTTCTGGTGTTTTAATGGGGACTCCATTGATCACATTGTGAAAATGCATTAATTCTTTAAAAATCTTTTTCTCTGCTCTTGGTTATTTAAAAACAAACATACTAAATGCATTGTTATGATGAGCAAGCATGCCTCTTCAAAAATTGTGAAATTCATGGCCCCTAAGTCAGGGGTTTTGGTGTTAGGGCAGGACTCTATTGATTATATAGTGAAAATGCATAATTTCTTTGAAAATTTACTCTACCACTGGGTATTTGGCAAATATTCTAAGTGCATGGTTATGATGAGCAAGGGTACCTCTTCCAAAAATGTGAAATTCAAGGCCCTTGGATTAAGGGTTCTGGTGTTAGGACAGGGCTCTACTGATTATATAGTGAGAATGCATCAATTCTACAAAAACCTTCTTCTCTGTCCCTGGGTATTTAGCAAACATACTATTGAATGGTTATGATGAGAAGGATGCCTTTTCCAAAATTGTGAATTTTATGGCCCCTGGGTCAGCATTGTCAGGGATCCTGGTGTTAGGTCAGGGTTCTACTGATTATATAGTAAAAATGCATTAGTCTTTGAAAATGTTCTTCTTTGTTTCTGGGTATTTAGCAGATAAACTAAGTGCATGGTTATGATAAGCAAAGGTGCCTCTCCCTAACTGACATTCATGGCTCCTGGGTCAGGGGTTCTGGTGTTAGGGTGAGACTCTTTTGATAATTTGATTATAGAGGGAAAATGCATAATTTCTTTTAAAACAGAGTACAAATTTCTAATGAGCAAGGATATTTTTACCAATTTTGGGAAATTCTTGATGTTCTGTTGCTGGGCAGAGTTCTATTGATCTTGTATAGAAATTTTTATTCTACTGAGAGAAGTTATTCCCCTTTAATGTAAATCATAGGTCAATTGAATAAAAGAATTGCAAAAAATGTTAATGTATAATACAAAAAGTACTTTCTCGTTTTTAATGGTCAGGTAGACTTGTAAACAATAGATAAATAAAAATGAGATTTAAAAATATCTTATCTTTGTACATTATTCTTCAAAGACCAAGTAGGCCAATCTGAGAGGGTGTGAGATGAGTGAATGTGCTCAAGCACTACACTATTGTCTACATGCTGATAGTGACAAATTGGAGTATATTAGCACTGGCAAGTACATGCTAGTAAATGATCTACTTTATGTTTTGTTACTGAGTACTAGAATATCTATTTTGTTGATCTCAGATCATCCTTTTTCTCTTGCTTTTGGTTAACATACATGTATCTTCATTTGTTTTATTTTGTTCTATGGATCCTTTACAGTATTATTCTCAGGTGACCATTATGGCCCTCAGGCCTCTTGTTTATTCCAGAAAACCAAGCCATTTCCTTTTCAAATTATATATTTTGCTCTCCAGAAGTGGAAGTACATGTACTTCTAACAATCATACATTAGTTTTAAACTATTCAAAACACAAACAAAGAACAGTTATCCAGTTATTAGAGGATTACTGTTACACATACTGTATTGATTTTAGGACTGGATACACAAATAAAAAAATGGAGAAACTAAAGAAAAGCCAATCAAACTGTAAGTACCATTTGTTTATCTCTATGGTATTTCATGACACAGGATTTACTAGATAGAAGAAACATGTATTTACATGTACCTAAAACTTGAATGCTCTTTGTAAGTCACAAATTTTATGTACATGCACTTTCATACATACAAAGAATGATGAAATTACTGACAGTTGCTTGTATTTCAAAATTAAGACAATTGGTACATGTAGGTAAAGTTGATTTTATTTACAAAACAAGAGGCCCATGGGCCACAACGCTCACCTGAGTAACTTTGGCCCTGCTGTTCTTCACCAGACTTTCCCCCATGTAATACACCTATTGTGATCCTATCCTATCCCAGGGGTCATGATTTTAACAATTTATAATCTACACTACCCGAGGATACTTCCATATAAGTTTCAGCTTTTCTGGCCCAATGGTTCTTGAGAAGATTTTTAAAGATTTTTTTTTTCCCAATATATTTCAATATAAAACTTGGATTCCCTATTGTGGCCCCACCCTACCCCGGGGTCATGTTTTTAACAATTTAGAATCTACACTACCCCAGGATGCTTCCACATAAGTTTCAGCCTTTCTGGTTCAGTGGTTCTTGAGAAGAAGATTTTTAAAGATTTTTTCTATATATTTCAATGTAAAACTTGGATTCCCTATTGTGGCCCCACCCTACCTCCGGGGGTCATGATTTTGACAATTTAGAATCTAGACTACCCCCACATGCTTCCACATTAGTTTCAGCTTTCCTGGCCCAGTGGTTCTTGAGAAGAAGATTTTTAAAGATTTTTTCTATATATTTCAATGTAAAACTTGGATTCCCTGTTGTGGCCCCACCCTACCCCCGGGGGTCATGATTTTAACAATTTAGAATCTACACTACCCCAGGATGCTTCCACATAAGTTTCAGCTTTTCTGGCCCAGCTCTGGGTGAGCTAAAAAGCACTGCATAATTATTGATCAAGCATTTGATTGTACTATACACATGAATTTTTCATAGTGTTTCATCATTAATGTTTTGAAACTTTTTTCTATAATTGTCAGTGGAGAAACAACAGAAGCACCTGAGTCAGTGGTGTCAGATCCAGATGGAGGAAGCCTCGACTACTCCTCACTCTGAGGAGATTGAGGAGAAAATGGCTGCAGAACTGTCAGAGGAGCAAAAATTCTCCGAGGTAGTCTGTTTATACTTTTATCCTATTGGTTGGTGAGCATAATTATGACAATATTTTTATCCTCTCCTCCTCTGGGACCCTAAGTTGTTTAATAATTAAAAGAAAAGATGAGGACTACAGAGACAGTTACCTGTGTTAGTACAGTATATGTATTAATGAATTTTTAGATACAACATAACACAGCAACATACAGTATATAATACATGTACATGTATGTTTAGATGAAGGTTCAGTTAAGCTAGATGAAGGTTCCATAAAGATTGCAGAGTATTAGCACTGTAATTCTTTAATTGTAAATGTATACAGAGTGCTGATGAGAAAGAAGAGCTAGAACCATGGCTTGTGAAAGAAATGGATGACCTTCTCAGTGAGATATGGCTCACAGGAAATGAAGACTGCTTCTCTCAACTTATACATCTCATCAAAAGTGAAAATGTTTCAGGTTTGTCATGCACCTTTCATGAGAAGGAAAATATTATCCCAAAGACACAAGATTAAAATGTCAAGCATGTTATTTTATTTTCAATCATTTTTTTTTTCAAATTAAGTTTGCAGGTGATTTGTATTCAGAGAGAATTGGAAGAGTGTAGAGAAAAAAATGTTAAGAGGAAAGGAAGGGGTGGGGGATACATGGAATATTATTAGACATGTTAAAGCATTGTATTGATTGTTTGCTATATTGATGATGAACAGTGGACTACCAACATTCTGAGACTAGCCTTTCTGCTCTGATGATTGCTGCTGCTCGAGGATTCACTGCTGTAGTAGAACATCTGCTTAACTTTGGAGCCAATGCCAAACTTAAGTCCTCTAATGACTGGACTGCACTAGATTTTGCTAAGAAGTTCAACCAAGAAGAGGTGATAGAAATGCTTCAAGCTTACATGTAAGTTGAAAGGATGTACTTGACTTGTAATTGAGAATAAGGAACACATACCAGGTTTAACCAGGTTTATAGGGAAGCATCCTCAGGTAGTGTAAATTCAAATTTGTTCAATGACCCCTGGGGGTAGGGTGGGGCCACAATATGTGATCTAAGTTTTACATAGGAATATACAGGGGGAAAAATCTGCTGATGAAGAACATTATGACCATAGTGACTCAGGTGGGACATGTGGCTCAAGGGCCTCTTGTTGGTCTGTCTTTTTGTCTGTTTATCTGCAAAAACTTTAACCTTGGCCATAACTTTTGAAAGATTGGTGCTAGTGCTTTCATATTTCACATGGGTGTTCCTGGTAACAACCTTTCTTTGGGTACCTGTGACATTGACCTTGGAGTTTGACTTACTATTAAAAAACTAACCAAACTTTAACCTTGGCAATGCCTTTTGAAGGATGAAGGATTTCATATTTCACATGTGTATTCCTTGTAACAAAACCTTTCTTTGGGTACCACTTTTTTTTTAACCCTTTGATTTTGACCTTGGAATTTGTCCTACTTTTGAAAAACTTTAACCTTGGCCATAACTTCTGAACGGTTGGGACTAGGGCTTTCATATTTCACATGGATATTCTTTGTGACAAGACCACCACATTCTTTAACATCATAACCTTTAACATCATAACCTTGACCTTGGAGTTTGTCCTATGTTTGAAATCTTTAACCTTGGCCATAATTTCTAAGTATTTGGTGCTAGGGCTTTCATCTTTCAAATGTAATTTCTCTTGTGAGAAGACCTTTCTTTGGATACCACCATTTTTGACCTCATGGCAATGAATGACCTTGTAGTTAAACTTCTTTTAAAACTTTAACCAAACTTTAACCTTGTCTATAATTTTTGAACAGTTGGTGCCAGGGCTTTCATATTTCACATGTGTATTCCTTGTTATAAGACCTTTCTTTTGACCTCATGACCTTGACACTGGAGTTTGATGTACTTTTGAAAAACTTTAACCTTGGCAATAACTTCTAAACAGTTGGTGCTTGGACATTCATATTTTACATGTGCACTCCTCGTGACAAGACCTTTCTTTGAGTATCATATTTTTGACCTGTTGACCTTGGAGTTTAACCTACTTTTGAAAGACTCTAACTATGACAATAATTGTGTAAGGGCTTTCATATTTCACAGATGTATTTTTATGACATAACCTTTTGTTTTGGTACTACCATTTTTGACTTCATGGCCTTGGAGTTTGACCTAACTTTAACCTTGGCAATGAGCTGCCATACAGGGGCATCAGTATTTCACAAACACATCTTGTTTGAAACTGCAGAATTTTGATGAGAGCTTTTAGTTTGAATTAATCATTATGTAAAAATAGACAAAAATACAGTTTAAAAATAATTTGAATGATTTCTTTTAATCTATCCAAGGGTTGAATATGAAATGGGATCGTCAGATGAAATCAGTGTTATTGCTACTGTGCCAGCTCGAATTCTCTCAGAGGAAGACAAAGAGCTGCTGAATTTGTATCAACACAGTTTTGATGATGACAAAGTGGATATTATTCTCATTCTACAATTAATAATCAAGATACTCTCCACAAGCAAAGATGGTACATGTATTGTTCTATTTTATATGACAAAAGTTATGCACATGTATCATAATACAACTATTTGTCAGTTCATTATAATCCTTTTGACAATTCTCATATGTATTTTTTAATAAAAATAGGAAAATTGTGCAAGGTATTAAAATGTTGTCAATTTTTTCTATAGGTGCCATATTAGTCTTTTTATCAGGTTATGATGACATTGTTACATTGAGAGAAACATTAAGTGACAGCAAAAATATGGATAAATTCAGGCAAGCAAATTATCAATACTTGTACCTTTACATGTACATGTACCGGTATGTGATTGCAAACTATGATTAGTAGCTTGAATTCCTTAGATTTTGGTCACTTAAAATGCTTCAAGATTCTTATGTTTGCTTAACTTCCAATTCATTTTCTCAGGTATGTGCTATACACTTTGCATTCATCTATGCAATCCAATGACCAGAAAAGGGTATTCAAATCTGTACCACATGGAGTGAGAAAAATAGTAGGTACAGGCATGTTTAAAAGACACTTCTCGAAAATGTTGCATTCTTACTTGTAAAATAATATGCGAGGGGTGATCAAAAAGTTCGCGAACTATCTCTGTATTTACAAAACCACAATTCAGATTAGAATGAAATTTGGCACACATATAGTCATGCACATGTTCTATAAATAACAGATGTTAAATAATGTTTTTCTCCATGTTTGTGACATCACAATGTGAAAATGACGTCAATATATAGGTCACTTGTGACAAAAAATGGTTGACTCAGTCGTACTCGAGCAACGAACGGCTGTAAAGTTTAACGTATATCTTGGAAATTCTTTTGCAGTAGAAGATGATAAGTTGTACAAGGTTTATGAAGACAAAAGACTTACCAGACGTTCAATCATTAATTGGATGGGTTGTTTTAGTTTAAAAGATGTGTCCTTAGCTGAGCAATTTGTTGTGAAACATCGTCAAGTTACAATTAGAAAAATGGTTGAATTTCTTAACAATACTATAATCATTAAATCCCTAGAATATCATTTACTTTAGACTTTAAACATATGAGATATGATAAAAAGAATGCGCCCATACTTTATTCACATTGGATAAACGACGCTCCCGAGACAGAGAACTCGGGTTGTGATGGGTCACCATACTAATTGTGGGAAGGGATATCCTTATCCACCCATCCTATTGCCGAGATTTGGCCATTTCTGACAGATGGACTGTTCTTGTTATAAAAAATAACTTGCATGGTAAGAAATATAAGACTCGGAAAAATCTCTTAGCTTCTTTGAACAGACTGCTACGGAGCATGTCACGTGACTGCCTGGATCACGTGATTCGCGCATAGGCAGAACAATGGAAGATGTGCATTTAAATCGGAGAGGACTACTTTAAAAGATAATAAACACTGAAACCTCATTTTATGTCTTTTAAGGAAGTTATTCAATTAGTTCGCGAACTTTTTGATCACCCCTTGTATGTCTAGTACTGTAAACCAACTATTATTCACGTCAACTTTTATTTGGGATTCGTCAGTTTGAAATCAATCCACGACGATTAATTTTTAGCGACTGAGGAAACACTGTCTACCAATACAAAGCAAAATAAATGGTTCGCGACGATTAATATTCGCGAGATAAAGTAGGTTGCGAAACTCGCGAATATTTCTCGCACACGAATAAAAGTTGGTTTACAGTATTTAATGTTCTGTAAATCTAATTTTAATGGTTTTATATTAATTATTTCAGATTCTGGCAACTAACATTGCAGAGACTAGTATCACAATTAATGATGTTGTATACGTGATAGATTCTGGGAAAGTTAAAGAGGTAAATATGTAAAACAAATGTTTAAAATTTCATAAGTTTATCTATCTGTTAGTCTGTCCGTCTGATATTTCTTGTTGGACAAATATCTCTCCTTTTAGCCCTACATAACTCATAGTTCACCCAAAGTGCTCTTGAGGAAAGAATGCACAGTGACGTTAACTCAATTTTAAAACTCAAAGGTCAAAATTATTGTTGTTATTCCTTGTTATTGTATATTTCTTGTCTTTTAGATGAAAATCATTTATACTTTACCCATAGAATGTCCTTTGGTATAGTATCTGCTGTGACTTCAAACCAAGTTTAAAATTCATTGGTAAAGTTTGTTGCCCAGCAGTGAATAGAGCAAAGATGTCACTCTGTTCTAGAGACACTGGGTAAAGAGATCCTTATGCGGCACGTTCAAATTTACTGCCGGAATTCGAGACTGGTCCTTTGCATGAGTTCACAGGGCTAAATATCCATTGCATCCAGGTCTGGTAAAAGGACCCTGTCCCAATTGAAAATTAGCTCTTTTTTCCCCCAAAAATTTAGGTAACAATTCCAAATTGATGACCAAATTGAATTTTTTCTTGGTGCTTTTCATAAAAAAATAACTTACATTTTGCCATTTTTTTTCAATTTTAAAATTCCCAGTTGAAAGGGTACAGGACCCTGTAACAAAAAGGTCAATTAAGCCCTGGTTCATATAAACCGCAGTAGATGTTGGCAGTTTCCTTAGGTAAAAATACAGGACTTTTTTCAAAGTTTCTGTTTCAGCAGTCAAGTTCTTGTAAATTCCTTGTCCAGGGTTTATATTTTCTACAGATGTCCCAGTAACATTCATACTTTACTGATAGAGTGTCCTTGAAGAAGGATTTACATGTTTCTCACTCAAAGATCTAGGTCAAAATGGATTATTAAATTCCTTGTCTGAGATATACTTCCTCTGCCCTTGGTCAAACTTCATTGTCACAACTGACCTCTAGTTGTGATGGGTTCTTTGAATTACACATTTACAATCCAAAACAAAAGATATTTTGGATGACTCCTGTTCACTAGAAAATAACAAGATTTGTAAAAATTAACATTGAATTTTTCAACATACATGTACAATCAATATGAACAGAGACATCAAAAAACATCCAGATGGGTTTATCACTGGATAGATTCCCTCAATATGTACATGTAACAATGTCGTCAATGGTCCACCATATCCTCCCAGGTCCACTGTGTCCAAGAGAGCTGAGCCTCCACCCAGATAATCCACCCCATTACTTTACCACATTACAAGTCCACAAAACAGTAGCTCCTAAAATTTGGTCAGGCCAAACCAAAAATTATGTGTGGTTCCGGTTACACTTCCAAAAAAATTAGGGTAGGTAGGTAGGGATTTTTTTTTTTTTTTTTTTTTAACAAAATAATTTTCTTAATTTTTTCTAAATAACACCTATCACTGTTTTGCAAATGGCATTTAGATGTGGTGTGATAATATACTAGTTAATATTGGTAGGGGACACCTTCATGCTAGCTTGCTTTGGATTTAACACTATTAAACACTTGCACTATGTTTTGCAAGGAGGCCGTCTTTGCTGAAACTAAAACTTAAACTGGTGCCATTGATGGAAATCGGGGAAAATTCTAGAAAAAATATGAAAATTGCCAAAAAAAAGTTTAGGGTCAGGGGTATAAAATAGGGAAGGTCGGGTAACCGGAACCACACATATTTTTTTATTTGGCCTCACCTACAATTTTTACAAGGTTTTCGAATAAACTAGTCAATACACTTTTGTTTGTTTGATTAAAATTCTTTTTATAATTTGTTTTCCCCTGTGTTGAATCCTATGATTTGAGAAAAAAATGGACACCATCTCTTTGCTGGTATGTGTATTTTTACGTGAGTTAAATTCATAGAGATATGTTTTGTTGACTATATATGTTGTATATGCATTTATTGTAGAAAGCTTTTGATGCCCTTTTGTCATTGTCAATGCTGAAGTCTACTTGGATTTCAAAAGCTAGTGCACTTCAGAGAAAGGGGAGGTAACTACAACAAAATACCTTGCCAAAATGAATGATTATGTCAGCCTTGTGTTTAAAGATTTTTGTTTTCACTCATAACAAATATTTTGACAGGGCTGGGAGATGTAAGCCAGGTGTTTGCTATCACCTCTTTAGCAGAATCAGATACAGTATGATGCAAGACTTTGCTACTCCAGAACTTCTGAGATTTCCTCTACAGGTGTGTTTCTTCTTAACACTGTCATTCTATATTCAAATGTTGTATTTCTTTTTCTTTGGTATCATTTTTAGCTCACCTGAGCCAAAAGGCTCAAGTGAGCTTTTCTGAGTGAACATTGTATGGATCCATCTCTCCTCCTGTCTGTTATATGTCATTTGTAAACTATTAACTTTTTCAACTTCATCTCCAGAACCACTAGGCCAGTTTAAAGAAAACATTGAATTAAGGGTTCAAGATTTCATGTCAAGAAAAGAATATTGACTTAGTTGTGTGTTGTTACCAAAGGGACTCTTGTTTTCTTTTGCAGGAAATTTGCCTTCATACAAAGCTGATTGCACCAATTCATTGTCCAATAGCTGAATTTCTGGCAAAGGCACCTGAGCCACCTCCTTACATGGTTACAAGAAATGCTGTGTTGTTACTTAAGGTAACCAATCATGTTTATACATGTAAGAGTCCTTAAAAGTGAAAAAAATTATAGTTTGTGAATGTCTACATGTGTGTGTATTTTATGATCATTTATATTTGTTTATTTTAGCAAATTGATGCTTTAGATCACTTTGAGGACTTGACAGAAATTGGTTATCATTTAGCAGACCTACCTCTGGAGCCAAGGCTGGGAAAAGTTGTTCTGTATTCTATTGTACTGAAATGCCTGGATCCAATTCTAACCATTGTGTGTGCTTTAGCATATCGAGATCCCTGTAAGTGCCTCATGATTGAATACATATTGAAAGCATTACAGATCTTTTAATTAATCCCTCCAATCCATTTTTTATGCCCCACCATGAATATGGCCAGGGCATATAGTGTTTGTCATGTCCGTCTCACGTCTGCCCTTCCTTCACACTTTGCGTTTAGCTCTGTTCAATGCTCAGTTTAAAAGAAACTATCCAAGATATTTTTTATCAAACTTCATATGCTGATAGATATTGATGAGAGCTATGCAACTGGATCAACATTTTTTGACCTTGACCTTTCATTTGACCTTAACCTCACTTTTCTTAAATTAATGTTTAGCTCAGTTTTTAAGATACCATTCAAGAGAGTGTAATCAAACTTCATATATTGAAACATACTGATGTAAACTATTCAACTGCATCAACATTTTTTGACCTTGACCTTTCATTTGACCTTGACCTCACTTTTCTTAAATTAGTGTTTTGCTCAATTTTAATGAAATCATTCAAGAAATTTTTATCAAACTTCATATGCTGATACATACTGATGAGAGCTTTTCAACTGCAACAGTATTTTTTGACATTGACCTTTCCTTTGACCTTGAACTCACTTTTCTTAAATTAGTGTTTAACTCAGTTTTAAAGATACCATTCAATACAGTGTTATCAAACCTCATATGTTAATACATACTGATGAGAGCTATTCAACTGCATCAACATTTTTTTACCTTGACCATTCCTTTGACCTTGACCTCACTTTTCTTAAATTAGTGTGAAACTTAATATGCTGATACATACTGATGTAAGCTATTCAACTGCATTAATATTTTAATCAAACGTAAATATGCTGATTCATATTGTGAAAAGTATTTAACTGCATCAAAAACATTTGACCTTGAACTTTCCTGTGATCTTGACCTCACTTTTCTTAGATTTGCATTTTGCTTAATTTTAAAAAAACCATTTAAGATATATTTATGTAAGTTTATGCACTTATACATAATTTGGCGAGAATTTATCATCTATATCCAACTTTTTAGATTTCAATTTCAATTTTAAAGAAACTATTCAAGATATTCTCATCAAATTTCATACACTAATACAAATTTTCATGTTGCATTAGTAATATACCCTCGGCGGGGCATTCATGTCCTATGGACATATTTCTAGTTTATTTAGATATTATGTAAGGAAATATGTAAATACACAATTGCTTTTTGTTCTTTGTTTGATGTAGATATGTTTATATTATAGTCATTCTTCCCTCTTCACCACATTTAAAGCGTGCAGCTGATCAGGTCAGGCGTCAGTACAGCTCCAACACATTCAGTGATCACATGGCCCTACTCAGGGCTTTCCAGGTCTGTAAGGTCCCCAAATTGTTGATCTTAAAGTATAATTTCTGTATGAATTCTTCCTTTGGCTACACTGGAATTTTCACTAGATAAAGCCTTGCAAATAACAGTACAGTGATAGTAATATACATGTACATGTATATAAAGAATAATCAGTAATATTTTGTGAAGTATATTTTTTTCTGCACTTGTATATTAACAACAAAATGAAGCTGTGAAAATAAAATAACAATACATTGATATGTATATAAAGAATAATCAGGAATAATTTCTGCATACATATGATTTAACAACAAGCTGGGAAAATAACAGTACACTGTTATATATGTATATACTGTAAAAGCAGAAATATTCGTGGTGGATTAAATTTCATGTGTTTCGTTGTTAACAATTATCAACAAAAATAAATCCCACACGAAATTTTTATATGACTATATATTGAATAGGGTCACTTTCGAAACAACAAAATTAATGCCCACAAAACCTTTATAGATTACAAATCAACGAAATTTTATTCCCACAAAAACTGGTGCTTCTACAGTATATACATGTATTATATAGAATATTCAGTATGAGAACAGAATACTGCAAATTCAAAACGGTGTGAAAAACGACTTACTTCAGAAAACTAGAATTTAAATGTGTGATATTAGAACTGTACACAATATAGCATTACTTACCTGTAGGGTTGGCAAAGAGCTCGCACTGACAATTGTGAGAGGAGTTACTGTGAGAAGAATTTTCTGTCATCTGCTTGTATGGAAATGATTGTTGGCATGAGGTAAACTGTGCTTTAATATATGATCATTGCAGCTGTCATTTTAATGTAATTAACATAATATTTTCTGTACAATTCAGTTATGTAGTGTAGATGCAGAATCAGGTGTATATTTTAAGATTATTCAATGGTTTGAAAAAAATTTAAATTTTCATGATTTGTATTTTACAGGACACAACTTTTAGGACAATTGAGAGCCTCGGGTTTTGTGCGAGCTAGAGGAGGAGGAGACATACGTGACTTGAACACAAACTCGGAGAACTGGGCAGCAGTCAAGGCTGCTCTGTGTGCAGGGATATATCCCAATCTTGTGAAAATTGAAAGATGTACAAACATCAAAATGGTTTCTCAGTGAGTAGATACAATACACTTTTGCTTATGCTTTACTTGCATGTAATCTGATGTTCAAAGGAAGCTATAATGTTAAAATCCAGTATGATTCTGTACCAGTAATTTGTTCTTGTTTAAGGTTCATAAACCCTCTGCTCACTCATGTAAAATGTTGCTTTATCTCTTATGATTTTCCAAAAGAAATGTATTTTATAAGTAAAATTCAAACAATTATAGCATAGCTTGTGAGGCAAAATTGGACAAAAAAAATTTCAACTTGGCAAATTATAAAGGAATAATAGACATTTATGTTTTTAAGAGTTACCTCTTATCAGAGTATCAATGAACCTTAATGCTTTTGTAGAGAACTAGACATAAGAGGATTAATCTACATGGCATTGCAAACATTCCTTAAACTAATGTTAAGATGATTTAGGGAGTATATTTACACATACAGTACATTGACATTGTACATATGTACTTTATTATACCCCCGCTCTGAAGGAGAGGGGGGATATACTGTTTTACCCTTGTGTGTCTAGCTGTCTGTGTGTCCATGTGTCTGTCCATAACAAATTTTTGTCGCAGTTTTTTCAGCAACTACTCATCACATATGCTTGAAATTTTAGCACAATCTTTGTTTAGGCATGCCAAATGGGGGATATATTTTTGTTCGAATCCAATGTCAATGTCCTGTTTACATGTACATGTATCCGTGCATCTGTCTGTAACAAACTTTCGTCGCAGTTTTCTCAGCAAATACTCATCACAGATGCTTGAAATTTTAGCACAATCTTTGTTTAGGCATGCCATATGGTGGGATACATTTTTGTTTGAATCCGATGTCAACTTCCTGTTTATCCATGCATCTGTCTGTACTAAATTTCTGTCACAGTTTTCTTAGCAACTACTGAGCGCAGATGCTTGAAATTTTAGCACAATCTTTGTTTAGGCATGCCATTGGATGGATTCATTTTTGTATGAATTCGATGTCAACATGAGAGTGTATATTCACATCAGAGCAGGGGTATTACTAGTGAGTATTCTCTCACAGACTTTTTGTTTAATCAAGTATTGCATGCATTCACAGGAAATCTTCTGGCATCAAGTTCCACACAAGTTCAGTACTAAAGAACCCAGCCCTTCCAGAGAAGAAGGCCATACAGAATATTCCTACAGACTGGGTCCTGTATGAGGAGATGAGCCGTTATGAGAGGAGTGCTTATATCCGATGTTGTACTGCCATTTCTCCAATCACTGTAGCTCTCTTCACAGGACCCATCAAACTACCACCAGAGAGTGTCAGAGATGGGACAAAAGCACATGGTTATTTATTTTGATAAATATGAAAAAAATAGTTAAAATTGTTCAGCTTGGAATTGATGTAAACATGAATTCTGTATTCTTTTTGTATTTGAGATAATTCTTGAAATTTTTTGAACAGCCATGCTACATGCAGGAATGGAGGACAGTAGTGATAGTGAAGGAGAAGAAAAGGAAGATAACACTAAAACTACCTTACAGTTTGATGATTGGCTGGCCTTCAAACTGGACAATGAGGTACACAAAAGATCATACTCAAAATAAAACGTAATCCTTCCTCTGTCAATTGCTCACTAAAAAATTGATGTGTTTACAATGTTGTAGACGGCAAACATGGTGCTTCAGTTGCGACACAAATGGAACTGTCTCTTTCTTCGAAGAATGAGAGCTCCCTCCAAACCCTGGTCACAGGTAGATGAGGTGCGGATTAAAGCTTTTTACAATCAGATATGTTTGGTATCATTGGTTTCATTACCATTCAAGTACATGTGTATTCTGTGTGACTTTTATAGGCTGTCATTAAAGCAGTTATCAGTGTCTTAAGTAATGAGGAGCAGGCCCTTGGATTTCAGCAGCCAGCTGGTATTGGGCAGAGACCAAGACCCATGAGTAAGATTTCTTTGTACAGATGTACCTTTCTATTATTCTATTAAATTACATCATGACTTGACTGTAAACATACATCCAAGTACAGCAACATTTATGCATAATTACAAGTAATTTAATAATAGTTGTTTTGTAGACCCTACTTAAAAGGTGGGATGTATATATTTCCTCATCTTTCTATAAGTTTTCATAATCATGTTGTTTATTTGCATTAGATAGCAGATGTTTTAATTGATTTATGCCTTGTATATTAAAATCATACTTCACAAATTATATGTACTTGCATTGGTGAGTCCTGTCCTTGATCCATGGTCATATCTCTAAGCTCAAGGTCATTATAGCCCGTGAGTTATTTTTTTGATTTGGAGTGAGAAAAGATAATATTTCACATTATCATATATTTAGTACATGTAGTATTAAAATGCAGATTCCGCATTGTGCAATATAGGGAATGTCACAATACCCCATATCAATGACTGGTTCGAAAACCTGTATCACGTATCAGACCGTCATGCAAAAATCCATATCAAACAGGAATTATTGTTTGAATAAAGTTTAAAAGTTGATTCATTTGATATTATTGAAATAAACATGTACAGACCCTAAAACGTGCTAATACACCACTTGCACGGTTCGGTTCGTTTCATTTTGTGTACGGTACGGTACGCTTCTTGCATGAAACGGTACGCTTTGTGAACGGTAGGGTTAGCTCTGTGCATAGTACGGTACGCTTCTTGCACAGAAGGGTTCGTTTTGTGAACGGTACGCTTTGGTGAACGGTATGTAAATTAAGTGGGCGGAGCCTGTACGCTTTAGTTTATGATTGACTACTTCATAAAGTCGTTTATTTCTTTATTATAATCCCTTTATTTTATATAAATGGAAGGACGATGTCGCAAGCATTTTTTTGATAAGTTGTTTTTAAGTTAAAACTGTTATAAATATTTCCTTTTTACAGCTGTATTTTTATTGTTAAATGTAACTAGTCGTCTTAATAACTATCTTTTTTTAAATTTACTTTCTGTATGAACTACTTTCAATTTTTAAAATAAATAATTTTAGTTGTCTATATATTATCTTATTTTGTACATCATCGCCTTATGGTTCAATAACTTTGAAATAAATCGAACATATCAACAAACACTGTATAACAAGGATGAAAAAAAATATTTTGGTTGCGTCGCCATAAAAGGCCTTTCTGTATTTATTTTTAAATAATAAGCGTACGTATGTTTTTTTTTTCTTTACATTTTCCTAATTGAATACAATTATTATTTTAAATATTCACTTATCACACTTTTAAACAAATGAGATTGATTTTATAAATCCCTCATGCTTTCATTTCATCTACCAGTCTTTTTACATTGTTGTCCCTGTTGCTTCATTAAAAAAACAAACAAACAAAAAATTTTCTCTTGACCGAACGATCAAACAAACATAAAAAATAAGTTTACTTATTATTTTTATTTGCGAGAAATTATATATATTATCAAGAACAGGTTCATACTGCAAAGCGAAGAAACATTTACGTGAACAAGCACAGAAAGCATATATATATATATATATATATATATATATATATATATATATATATATATACATATATATATCCAATATTGAAATAAAGTCTCAGTAATCGGATTACAATATTAAACAAATATAAAAAGAAAACACAAGAATCCTCCGTAAAGCTTTAGCGCTTTCATTAAAAATCTTCAGAAGCTTTACATTACAAAAATGTATACAACGGTAACATAGTAACAATGATTATGACGTTAAACTAAGCGGAACGTTTAATGTCTATATTGTGACGTCATAGATAAAATACTGCAATGATGATGAAAAAGTTCGGGAAAATCATAGGTAGTTTATAAGAGACTATTAAGTTTTGGCTTTAGAATACAAATAAAATGTTTTTCTTTTTCCCGTCTCTGGATATCACTGGCACATCTTAGTTTATAAAAAGGGAAAATGTTAAATCGTTTTTTTCCACAAGTTTCCAGGTGTGCACTTAACTGGATTTGTCTATATTCAGTTGTACTGATGTGTTGCTTATGTACACGTACACGGGCACGGAGACTGTTGCCAGTTTCACCAATATAATATTCTTTGCATCCAGGACATATGATGGCGTATATGACATCTTTCGTATCACATGACATGTTGGCATTAACTTTAAATTCACGCCCGTTAAAACTATAACTCGTCCCTTCTGTAATGTAGTCACATGTGCCGCAGCGAGGGTCCGTACACTTTGACACTGTATAATTATGGTCAGTGAATTGGGAGGAACAAAGTATTCTCTTAAGGTTTTTGGGCTGACGTTTACTGCTGATAAAACGACAGTTTTTGTATGTAGTTTTCGTTTGTTCATCCTCTCTAAGTAAGCTATTTAATTCATAAACAATTGAATTGATGTTTTTATTTCTCGGATTGTACGTGTGAACAAAGGGTATAGTTTCTCCGTCCTTCACACGTCGTGTGTTTGAAAGTAATTGTATTCTATCACACTCCTTGGCTTTCATAATACTATTATCTACCAGTTGCTCTGGGTATTTTTGGCTCAATAAATACAATTTTAATTCCTCCAAACGGATATCCCTCGTATTAATATTGCTCACATTGGTACAGATCCTTCTTGCGAGATTATATGGTATAGCCGTTTTAGTATGGTGGGGATGGCACGATCCGAAATGCAGATATTGGTGTGTATCTGTCGGCTTATAGTATATATCCGTATATAAGCTGGTATTATCTTTTGATATAAGAACATCGAGAAATGGCATTTGCGTATCATCTGTTTCCATCGTGAATTTGATATCCGAGTTCATTTGGTTTAGTAGATCGTAAAACTCCGATAATTTGTCGACATCATCATCCCATAAGATAAAACAGTCGTCTAAAAATCTTTTCCATTTAGACTGTATATTATTTGCAGATTCTATTCCCCACAACGAACATAATTGTTCATGTAACTTATGTTCTAAATAACCTAAGGTTAATGTTGCATAGGTAGGTGCGACTTTCGTCCCCATTGCAGTTCCCTTAGTTTGAAGGTAATGATGGTCAGAAAAAGCAAATGAATTGTTTTCTAGAACTAATTTAAGTGCTTCTAAAATAAAATTCTGTTGGAATCTGTCATTTAGTATATCGGGATAACTTTCCATCCAAAATTTTACAGCTTCCAATCCTAATTCTGTAGGAATATTAGTATATAAACTAACGACATCAAAAGTGACAAGTTTTGTGTTACAGGTGATCTGAGTAGGTAAATGATTTATGAAATCCAGATCGTCTCTTACAAAGCTGAGTACTTTTTGACAATATGGTTTTAAAAGTATATCCAATAAGTGACTCAGTCTTTGTGTTGATGAGTTTGGTCCTCCTACAATGGGTCTGAAGCATAAATCACCTGGATCAAGACACGTAATACATACACTATTTTGATTTGCTATGGCGTCCTTAATAATTTTAGACTTGTGAACTTTAGGTAAACCATAGAATTGGCTCTCTCGGAATTCAAAGTTTGTCAGGTAGTCCTGTTCTTTATCTGTTAAACCTTCCGATAGTGGTCCATATACCAGCTTTTTTATTTTAGTAATTGTTTTCTTCTCATGACAATTGTGCAGTCTTTCATAAAAGTTGTTGTCTTGTAACATTTGTAAGATTTTATTTTTGTAAAAATCCTTATTCATTAACACAACTCCACCTCCTTTATCAGCCTCTTTAATAATGATAGTAGGGTCATCGCATAGGCTTTTAAGAGCTTTTTCCTCTTCCTTAGAAAGGTTGGGTTTGATATTTCTGGGTTTGTTTGGAAAATGAATATTTTCTAATGTGTCGCAAACGGCATCCAAAGTTCGATTTCTTCCTCGTTTTGGATTAAACTTAGATTTGTTTCTTACCAGGTCTATTTGTTCTGCTTCTTGAGACTCGGAATCAGATTCATTGGTATCACTTTCATGAAAATATTCATATAGCCTGAGTCGTCGAGTATAGGCTTTAATATCCGTTTTAAGCTCTTGATTATTTACATGAGGTGTAGGGGTGTATTTAAGACCCTTAGACAGTAATTTGATTTCGGAATCCGTCAGATGTCTGTTGGAAAGATTAAATACTTTTGGTTCTATTTTAATTACATTCCTGGGTGCATCCCTGGAATTGTTGTTGTTAACAATTGTGGTAATTGGTTCTTGTATCTTTGGCCTTGGTTCATTTTGCCTCCTCCTAAAAAATAATTGCGTACCCCTCTTCCAATATACGTAGTTCTTTCGTTTCTGTAAAAGTTTGGTGGACGCCTACTTCTAACGTATCCTCGGTAATTTTCATTTTGTCTGTTATTGCCCTGATTCCGTCTTTTTATGCCTTTGTGGTACTTAGGAATCTGTTGATTTTGTGGAAAAGCACTACGAGAAGATTTACTTCTGGATTCAGAATTCTCGTATTGATTCTTATTTGCGGTTTTTCGTTTTCCCGAAAATGATTTTATTCCTTTAGAAAATGATGGTTCAGGCGCATTAAACGTTCCGCTTAGTTTAACGTCATAATCATTGTTACTATGTTACCGTTGTATACATTTTTGTAATGTAAAGCTTCTGAAGATTTTTAATGAAAGCGCTAAAGCTTTACGGAGGATTCTTGTGTTTTCTTTTTATATTTGTTTAATATATATATATATATATATATATATATATATATATATATATATATATATATATATATATATATATATATATATATATTTACATAGAATGTCTTAGGTGTTTGGCTCACTAGGAAAAATACATTGAAAAGTAATCGGTAGAAGTGCACACAATTTGTGCAAAATGTTACTTTAATTTTTGGTGCGCGTAATTGTTTTCCTTTTTACATAAATTTTCCATCAATGTGTAAAAACACCTTTTGAAGGGAAGTTACAATCAAGAAAACGATTAAGACAGCTACAATTCCATCTACAATGTATAAATGTATATAATATATATTGACTGCAAAGACAGATTTCCGAAAAAAATAATGTCAGAATGTTAGAAATAAATAGTCCGTTTTCAATTACCTTGAAAATAAATAATATGCAGCCATGCATGTCATCAAAAACTTTGAAAATGAATAATTTGCCCATGCCGGGTGCTACCCCCCCCCCCCCCCCCCCCCTCCCCCTTTTGTTTCCTTGTCAAACTCAAACTTTTTTTTTTATTGAAGATCTAGAAGAAAAGCTGACTGCACATGAAATTTTGTTTAAATCTGCTGATTAAAACTGGTTCATTGTTGTTGACTTACTATTTAAGACAGCAAACTATTGATACACGTGTGGATGTAGGCATATCTGGACTAACGGGATTAGATACGCTTCAATATATACAGCTCAAGTTTTTACCTGTGTACGAGTGGTGACAGTACTTGATCGAAATTTTCAAATGTTTTAGAGTAAATAACGAAAGTAAAGAAAGACGTCAGTCTAGATAACGAGACCATGGAAAGAAATGTACAGTGTTTCTTAAAAATAACTTGGATGAACACGAATGCACAGACTAAGCTTTTTTTAAAAAAAAAAAGAAAAAAAAAGATTAAACTGGGCTTAATGTGTAAATTCCAGGTAACATATTTTACCTGCAGATTTCAGTGAATAAAGCAAATGCATTGGGAAAAATGCTTTAAATAGAAATTAATTCTGACATATATCCAGATTTTTTTTTTGATTACGTGTATAAAACTGAAAATTCTATGCAAAAATGTGGCGATCGAACTTTTTGACAGTATGTTATATTGGCGATAACATCTTGAGTTGGTCAGAAGAGTGTAAACCAACACATTTATATATACATCGCTTTTATTTATTTTTTTTTCTAGTGATTGAGAGGCTTTTAAATTTTAACATGTCTGCTTTCAAACTGATAATTTAGTTCGTAATTTTTTTTTTGAAATTTTGTTGTTGTTGTTGGTAGATTTGTAATCATTTCTCCCTAAAACTATTACTTACATGAATACAAAAATGATTTTAAGGGCTTGGTTTCGGAAAATAGCACAGAATCTTAATACGTTTTACAATGTATCTTGGTTTCCGCGAACATTCATAGAGACAAGAATAGGGTAGATAAAAGCTATAGAAATAAAAGATAAAGTATTAAACTCACTTTTATTTATTATAAATTGTACACGAAAATATTACGATGCTGCATTTAATATGAAAAAAAAAATGTTAGTCAAGCACAACCTGATCATGCATAGCGAATAAGGAATCGCTTCACACTCTGTTGAGTTGTTTTGAAGTCGTAACTAGTTTCCTTATATTAACAGATGCATGTCCAGATGCATGGGTACTTAATAATAATGTTTTGAATCTCTTGGGTACCGGTATTTTACGTCCTTCTTTAAGGGCGCTACGTCGAAAGAAATAAAAGAGAATTACTTACTGTATTTGGTCATTGCAGGATTCGGAATGCTTTCGGGGCGTGGCTTGCATAATTATTTTAAAAATTATTCATGAACGGTACGGTTCGCTTTGTTAGCTTTGTTTGGTAGGGTATGCTTCTTGCACGGAACGGTTCGTTTTGTAACTCTTGCAAAAAAGTGAATCATACCTCAAAGGTAGAAGTCATCGTGGCTCTTGAGTTCAGTTTTGAAGCTACAAAAATAGTGAATCCTTCACATAGTAGTTGTTTTGAATGCAGAGATTTTATTTGTTATTAAATTTATGCTTTATTTTGTTATTTTTTAGCTCACTCAGGAAAGTTGGGGGAGCTTAGAAAATTGAATTGAATAAAAAATACTGTTGGCATCCGAGGATAAAGTTTTTCATTTTGAAGCAGTTTTCTATCTCAGTATTTCTAAACCCTATATTTGCATGGCTGATGCATCTAGTATGTTTTATAAAACCATTCAGGTTTTAGATGCTGCATTTCAGTCAATATTTTTCATAAGTGTTTTGGGGGCTGGTTAAAGATTTTGGAGTAGGTTATAGGTTTTAGGGCAGGTCTCATTCCCAAGTAACTATAGGTCCTGCCTTAACCAAACTTGCAGGGTTGATGCATCTAGAGATGCAAACTTAACTAGCAGACTTGCTTCAGATGCTGGATCTGACCTGGATTTTTCCGGATGAGTAAAGAGGTTAAAGTATTTGGAGTAGGCTCATTCCCAAGTAACAAGAGGCTTTTTGGTGACCAAACTTGCAAACATGATGCATCTAGGGATGCACACTACCAGACATGCTTCAGATGCTGAATCCGAGTAATATTTTCTAGATGAGTGAACAGGCTGAATTTTTGGAGCAGGTCAATTGCCAAGTAACTATAGGCCCCAACTGAACCAATCTTGCAAGGATGGTTCATGTAGAGATGAAAGCTGCAAGAATTGCATTGGATTCAGGATCTGACCTACATTTTTTGGATGATTGACCAGATTAAAGGTTAAAGTTTTTTTTTTTTTAATTTTTGAAGAGACTCATTCTCAGGTTCCTATAAGACTATAAATCCTATGCTGACCAAACTTTCATGGATGATGCATCTAGGGATGCACACTACCAGACTTGCTTCAGATGCTGAATTTTGCATACATTTTCCAGAACATTGAACAGAATTTTTTTGGAGCAAACCCATAACTAGAAATGTTACCCACACCAAACTTGCATAAATGTTATATCTCTGGATGCACACTATCCGAATATTTGTTTGGTATTAGATTTTGTCTACTTAAAGCTAACATTTGTTCAGGTGAGCTCTATCATTGTACATCAGGAGAGAGTATTCTCTTTCATCCATTGTATAACTTTTCCAGTTGAAGGCCATTGTTTTTCTTTCAGCTGAGTACATGTCTGCAGGTGGAGGGAGTTACAGTAGCTATGATAATGAGGATCACAGTAACAGGGGGAGAAGGACACCTGTTACCCCACCCAAGAAACACACCAGTGTCCTACCAAGTCAGTATCTTATTGCCCATGTGAACTTTAGAGTATTCTAAATGTCTATTCTAAAATGATAAATGTTATTTTGCAACACATTAACACATGATGACATATTTACTTCCTTACAAAATTTATCTTGACGAGATGTGGTTTTGTGTAGTTACACATCTGTTAGTTTGATGTACAGTAAATACATGTACATTGTAAATAAAACAACTACATTTTAATGAATTAAAGAACATGCAAGGATTAAACTTGTGTGTAGTTGCTTGTAAACATAGTTATGCTACATGTACACTCTATATACTCTACATGTAGGTGTATTTTGGTATTACAATGTACAGTAAAACTAGTCTAATTTGGACATTACTGGTTCCATAAAAATTGGCCAGATTGGATGAAATCAAAGTCTAATGGAGGAGACTTTATACATGTTTATTATATTATCATCTTTGATCTCATAGGAACACCTCGTACACCTGGAAACACTAGATCAGATGGTTCTTCAGCTAGCAGCAGTCCAAAGGGCAGTGTCCCCACCACCCCCTGTACCAGTCCTCAGACTGGGAGTAATACCCTGGCCAGCCCTGCAAAATCCACTAGCAAATATTTTGTTGTCAAACCCAATGATCAAAATGTATTGGATGTTGCCTTATCAAAGTCAATTTATGCAACATCACCAAAAAGTGAAGCCAGATTTAACAAAGCAATACAGGTATAGTCATTAACATACATGTATATCTTTTTCTTTAATTTTGTGTATTTTACCTTAACTGCATTGTTCATAGTTATGAAGTACATTCTAAAATAACCAAAATTATTTTAGGATGGGAAGGAATTGTACCTAATTTTCTCTACTGTGGGTAGTGGACAGTTCCAGGGTTATGCCAGAGTAACAGAACAAAGCAGCAAGGACAAATGTCCTGATATGTCGGGAGATGGCCTTGGGGGAACATTTAAGATTGAATGGATTAAAAAGTAAGTACCTTAGGTTTGTGAATTGATAAATAGCAAACATACACTGTACATGTATATGTACATGCAGGAGAATTTCTCAAAAAGTTCTGTTAAATTTTTTGACTCGGAAAGTAGGAGTCAGAATTGATGTAGCACTCATCCAAGGAAATTGAAATTACTACCTGAATACACTTGAACTTCGATATCTCAAACACCGATATCTTGAATACAATGGATATGTCCAAGTGATTTGGAAGTCCCAAACACTTATTCTTTTAAGTATTTTACCCCTGATATCTGGAATCCTCGGATATCTAGAAGTTTTTTCTCAGTCCCATGAAGTTTGAGATAACGAAGTTTGACTGTATTTAAAATGGTAAGGGATATCATTATGTATAATAACTCTGATTTGCTGAAATACATGTATGTACAGCTGATGTAACTTTGGGATTTAAAAAAAAATTGTCATTTTATATACAGATTCTTTATAAAAAGACTAACATTAACATACAAGAATTGTCATTAAACAGGGTAGTTGTACCATTTAAGGCAACACATAACATAACCAACAGTTGGAATGAAAACAAAAGAGTGCAATACAGTAAAGATGGACATGTAAGTACTCATGTGAGCTCTCAATTTTTTTTCCTTTTTGAATCACAATTTTACCTTTATTTTGTTTAACAAGTCGATGGGATTTTTATCCTTTTGTGTGGGCAGAATTGAAAAAGAATCCTGATAATTGAATCACCAAACTGTGTAATCCTTTAGCTTGGCAGGGACCATGAAATTTACATTTTTGTCAGATCAGTATCCTAACAAAGCAAACCTGGAGTTGATACTCATCAAACTTTCTTAGCATGTCTTCATAATTTTTTGACCCATTGACTCTCGGGTCAAAGCCCAGTAGGTTGTCCCACTAATATCCACGGAACCTAGCAAATGTCATGCTATTAGTAAATAATATAAAGTAGATTTAAAAGAATGTGGTTACATGTAGCAGTTGTGTTTTTACAAGCAAAACTTGTTTCTTTAGGAGTTGGAATCTTCTTGTGGAGAGAAGCTCATTCACGTTCTACAAACGTTTGAACCCAAATTATATGAAGCATCATCTGATGAAATGAAGGAAAATGATGAGGAGACTGATTTATCTAGTGACAAAGCCTCAAAGTCTTCACATTCAGAAGAGGACAAAGACTCCCTGCTCTCTGATGAGGATAGAACTAAACAAGATGATGGAGACAGAAATTCCAACAACACCAGGGGTAGATATCCAGGCCATTATCAGGGTCGACATCAACAGGGTTATGAGGGTCAGAGGCCAGGGTCATATCCTTACTCATCTTCATCACAAAATCATCAGTATTATCATCATCAACAGCAGGGTTATCATGGTGGAGGTGGAGGTGGACATTATAACTCTAGAATGTACAATATGGGATATCCTCCCCCCATGGGACCTAACTACAACCCCATGTACATGGGAATGCATTCTCCTCCCAGACATCCACTGTCTCCTGTGATGATTCTGCAAAGAGGTCAAAGGTCAGGAAGTCACTTCAGAGGTTATCATCCAGGATATGGGTCAGGATATCACTGATACGTTTATCAAAAAGCATTTTCACTGCCCTTATTGACACAAGTCAGGGTTTAAAAAATTACATGTATGTGTACTTCTACATTTAAAAAAAGGTATATGTCTATATGGAAATGATTTAGGTTTGAAATTAGTACATGTAAGGTACTTGAATAATTTCATCAAAATATATTTGAAGAAAACTTACAGTCAGGAAAAACATCTTAAGCATCTGTATTTTGTTTTAAATTTTCTTTCTTATCTGAATGTGAATTAATTACATCGGTTAAAAACTCTGTATAAGCATTATCATTGTACATTTTGTAAGATGTAAGTGTACATACTGTTGACAATGAAAAATGTAAGTCATTGGCTATTTGGTCCTTTCTATGTGTATATTAGCTGCAATAATGTAGCCCTCTCCGATTTTTTTTTTAATCTGATATTTTCAGGAGAGGGCTACAATTCCACTGCATCTCCGTAATGTTGCAAATATATTTTTTAGATACGGGCAACTGCAGGCAAAATAAATTATTTTTGCATTCAACTTACTTCTAATAAGACGGAATTTTTATTCACTATCAACATCATAACCTTTATACGCGAAAACCAAGTAAAATAAATCTGCGTGTTTACCAGTCATTCTCATGATATCACTATACATCGATAAATAAAAGCATTCCATGTGATAATTTTTTGATAAACAGTGATATTTATGCTTAAAATAAGGGAAATCCTAAACAGATCCGCTCCCATAGATCCCGAATTCTCATTGGTTGTCCCAAAATAAAATTGATCAAGGTTAGTAAATATGGTGGATAAATTCAAGTTGTGATGTTGACCTTCAGGAAAAATAGCTGATATATGGATTGTTCTGTATATTTTTGGATCAATTCATGTCTTGCATATAGCAACATTTTATGAGTTCAGGTAAGATATGTTAATAAAATACTCACTTACTGATAATTTGAGCCGAAATCTGTGCGGTAGTGAATCACTCCCGCACTTGCACCATTAAGGAGATCCTAAGGAGTTGTAGCTCTCTCCCAAAAAAAAAAATTTGGAGAGGGCTACATTATTGCAGCTATATGTATATATATATATATATATATATATATACATAAGTATACAATATCTATATAGATGTATTTTTTGCAGTGATCATAAATGGTGCCATAAGGACCAAGATGTGAAATCTTGCTAAAAATGAGTACACATAAAGCAATAAACTATTTATGTACATGTAAATGTACCAGTGTTTTTTAAAAGGTTGTAAATCCAAGATTGGATTATGTTTATTTCTGTTGCTAAACTCTGCATTTTTACATGTGTCCTGGAATGTGTTGCTTTGGTTTTAGTAAGGCCAAGCTTAAAAAAAATTGTTTCAGTTGCTGATCCACAATTCTTAGAGTGGGTAGGTAGGTATTTTTTTTTTAGGGGGAGGGGGTCATTTTTTTAGTTGTCAGGTACATGTATTTTTGGATTAATAATCATAGGGATTTTCATTGAGTATTGAAAAGATTTTGTATCTGCATGCTACATTTAAGGTAGGATCTATGTCAAAAAAAGTCCTTTTCACAGGATTTTTAAACTTTTCAAAATTATTTGCTAGTATCCACTTAATAATCATTTAAAAATAAATGGCATGTTTCCCTCTTATTTATTTAAAAAAAAATGCATCCATGGTAAACAGTACTCACTTTCGACAATAAAGCATTATCATTAAACGATTGTACTGTTGCAAATTTTGCTTTGAAGATAAATTATCTCTCTTATTTATGATGTAACGAGATGCATCCCAAAGTTTACACTTAAAGTATATTCATAACAAAAGAAAACATTCACACTGGGAGATTTCAGCTGCATTTATATGCTTTTAAAAGCAATTCTAATGACTTATATTTTTACTTCAATATAGTAAATAGATGTACTATGTAATATGCTGTTAATGTTCAATGTGATATTCTGCCAAGCATGTACAGGTATATACTTAAGTCTTTAAAAATCATGACAACAATTGAACTGCATATATCAGCTAGATTAAGAACTTGTTAAACTGGATTTAATTTCACCCTTCTGTAATTGAAAACTTTGTAGTACCGGTAAGTACAAATGTACTTAGTACTAAGAAATTGACATACATGTACTCAGATACTGTAAAAGTGAAATCTTTGACGACGTGGAAATGTTGACAAATGACAAAAAATCATCAAAGTTCCCACTCGTCAACTTTTACATTCTTGTTAAAGAGCACTGTTAAATGCTATCATATCGTCAAAGTTTTCATTTGCCATAATTCTAAAATCTTGAAATTGTCAAACTTTCAATCCTTCAGTATAGCCACATTTATAGTATCTGAAAACTAATAGGTTCCCGATGTCATAATGTAGACTATTAAGGATTTTGTTTGCATGTTTAGATTTATTTCCTTTGAAAATGAGGTTACTATTATCTGTAACAACCTGTAGTGTCAAAGTCACTTGAAGGTTTATTGTGCATATGAATAAGACTGAGCTGTTCAACTACAAATGTTCTTTCTTGTCAAGGCAAAAAAAAACTCCAGACAGATAGATTAAGAATAATACATAATTGATATATGTAGTTGTGATTAAGCATATCAATGACACTTTGGAATGAATTAAAAATTGAATATTATAAATTGACATTTTGTTAAGTTTTCTTCTCATGAACTTTATATGGAATTAGTTTAATATGTTCTGTGCCAAATGAATGAAAAATAATTGGTGTTTTTGGTGTTTTCCTTTTTTGTGTTATTGATAATCTTGTATCTTAATAAAACATTAAAAAGTAAAAACCATTTTCTGATTGCTTATAAGTGAGTGAAAGGAATATGTGTTAATATAAGAACTGTCTTAGTATACAAAGGTACATGTACTTATTCATATGTATAAAGAGGCATTTAAAAACTGAATGGCTATCATGTAAATTTTGAATTTACTGGTTGCTGGTACATGTAAATGCAAAAGAACGAGGGCGCTTTTGATTGGCATTCGGCAGGAATCTGGGCGCACTTGAAAAGGTGATCTGTCACATGAAATTTTAGCATTCTTTTGATATATCGGGTTCCTGTGAAATAGAAAAGGGAAATATTTTCCCGATATTGTATTCTGATTTGTTAAAAAAGAACTTGAAAGTTGGCTAGATGAGTCATTTGGTACAAAATGTTACATTTTTAAACACGTTTTTCTAAATATTTGCTATCTCTGGGTCATCTCTCCATGATTTTGAAACGTTATTTGTGTGCATTTTAATTCAAAGAAACTAACAAACATTTGTAAAAAAATGGAGAGAAGACCCAGAGACGGTAAAAAATGAACTTTTTCCAAAAAAATTCCAATGTGTGAATGCGGTGCTTCATTGTCGCTTTAAAAACCTTAAAGTGTGTTGCGGTGATAGCTCAGTAGTATGCGTTACCCGTCCAGTGCAATGATAAAGAAATATTTTTGGTTCGATCCTCGCATGGAGAGTTAATATTTTTTTTAGTACAAACAATCAATACTTTTATGAAGTGATTTATTTTCAGATAGATAAATTCTGGTTCTGTTGCACCGAAAGCGAAAGCAATTCTTCCAACCTACTGATACTTTAATATATACAAGTATGTACTTGTAATTGCATTTAACTATACCCTATATGTGTTTATTATTTATGTGAAGCGTTACTATGTTTTAGATGTAGTAATTATCAAGATAAGCGGACTGATATATTAAATTTGGCAAAGTATTTCAAACTAAATGTTACATTTTCCCATGTGCGTAACTTTGTAAAGTATGTCCAGCTGTGGTCAACCGACCAAATCGTAGATATTTAAACTATAAATGTTTCGTACGTCGTATTCCTGCAGATAACACGCCCATCTTCTTTATAATATAATAATTAGTTATCATGTGAATTTTGCATTTACCTACACCAGTAAATTCAGAATGTGCAACAATATAGCTTTCATACAAGTAAACCATAATTTAACAAGGGAAAAGTACTTTTAGGACTCTCCACTGTCCTATGATATTTAAAGATAAAGGACATATACGTAATTCTTTTACATCTCACCAAACTTAATCTATACTAACTCGGTTTTTTTATTCTAGAGCAAGGAAAGAAAGGAAAATAAGACCAACAATCACCCTAACAGGTGCTTGCTATTTTGAAAGAGTCATTCTCTGTAAGGAATCTTTTGGCACGGATTTCCCAACTCCGTACACAAGTAGACCCTCATCCTTCTGAAACCAACGATTTTACAGTTGCCATGGATTTCTGCTTTCATGGCAATGGGCCCAAAAATTGAGATTTTTAGCTCTTTTTAATCCTTCGTGGCTTTGAACAGGAACAGAGAATGTAAATGACCACACATATGATAGGAATGTCAAGTCCTATTGTTTAAGGTAATAAGAAAGATGACCTTATATTCATGTCATATCTGAAAAATCACCTGTGTGTTACTCTTTTAATGTCTGTATATTGTGGTCCCCTAAAACAAATTTGGATGAAAAAACATCTAGAATATATGTTTAGTAATTTTTGTTAATTTTTATATATTTACATTTTCCAATGTCTTTCTCTGAGATAAAACTACAAATAATGTGATGGCTTTATAACCCCATAAAGCGATTTGCTCAGCACGCGACAGAACTGCATGCTTTTAGCTGCGTGTTGCTTAGTAATACACCTGGCGGGGATGCTGAGATTTATTATTATTGAATTTTTTTTTACTGAATCAAGGATCAGGAAAAATGTAAATATAAGTAATAACTGTCTGGGTTTTTTTTGGTTTTATGATGATGATCAACCAATTTGCTAGCATGATAATTTTACTCATAAACGTCTTCGGCGTTTATGCAAATTATCACGCGAGCAAATTGATTGATCACGTCATAAAACCAAAAAACTAGACAGTTATTCTTTAATTGAACAAGCATTCTGAGAGTATTGCATTAGCAATACTAGTCCCCTACCGGCAAGTGTAATCTGGTTCCCGTTAAAAATTGAAAATGCCATAATTCCGTCAAAAATCAATGAAGCTGAACGAAATGCAAACTTGATCTTTAACTCATCAAGATAAAGTCACATACCAAAAATCAGCTCAATATCTGCAAGCGTTTAGAAAAAAAAATGCGGAAAACCCTGAAAAATTGAAAAGGTCGTAATTCCTTCAAAAATCATTGAAGCGGAACGAAATGCAAACTTGATCTGTAACTCATCAAGATACACTCGCACACCAAAAATCAGCTCAATATCTGCAAGCGTTTAGAAAAAAGTGCGGAAAACCAAGTGGGGCAGACTGACAGACAGACAGACTGACGGACGGACAGACTCAGAGGAAACCTATAATTATAGTCCCCTCCGGTTTCACCGGTAGGGAACTAATAATACAAGAGTTTTCATCATTTGATATCTATTCAAAACCCCTGGTAATGCATGCTGATTTTTTGTATGCGAACATCTAAAGGTACTATTATTAGTCCCCTACCGGTGAAACCGGAGGGGACTATAGGTTTCCTCTGAGTCTCTCCGTCCGTCTAGCTGTCCGTCTGTCCCTCTGTCTGTCTGTCTGTCTGTCTGCCCTTACTGTCAGACTTAACCTTGATGAGTTATAGATCAAGTATGCATTTCGTCCAGCTTCGTTGATTTTTGACGAAATTATGGCATTTTCAATTTTTAGCGGGAACCAAATTACACTTGCCGGTAGGGGACTAGTATTGCTAATGCAATACTCTCAGAATGCTTGTTTTAAATTCAGATTATCATGAAAAATTATCAGTAGGTATATAATTTACGTTGCGTATGTCCTTAATTCAGAAACGGAAATATATGTACACGTGCTACAAATGTTGAAAGTTTCCCTAAGTGACCTAAAAATTGATGGTTTTTAGCTCACCTCGACGAAGTCGAGATGAGCTTATGCTATACCCCCGGCGTTGGCGTCGGCGTTAGCGTCGGCGTCCCGGTTAAAGTTTTAGGAGCAGGTCCATTCCCAAGTAACTATAAGTCCTACCTGAACTAAACTTGCATGGATGATGCATCTAGTGATGGACACTACCAGATTTGCTTCGGATGCTGGATCTGACCTACATTTTCCAGATGAGTGACCAGGTTAAGGTTTTTTGAGCAGGTCCATTCCCTAGTAGCTATAAGTCCTACCTGAACCAAACTTGCATGGATGATGCATCTAGGGATGTACACTACCAGACTTGCTTCGGATGCTGGATCTGACCTACATTTCCCAGATGAGTGACCAGGTTAACGTTTTTGGAGCAGGTCCATTACCAAGTAACTATAAGCCCTTCCTTGACTAAATTTGCATGGATGATGCGTCTAGGGATGGGCACTACCAGACTTGCTTCGGATGCTGGATCTGACCTACATTTTCCAGATGAGTGACCAGGTTAACGTTTTTGGAGCAGGTCCATTACCAAGTAACTATAAGCCCTTCCTTGACTAAATTTGCATGGATGATGCGTCTAGGGATGGGCACTACCAGACTTGCTTCGGATGCTGGATCTGACCTACATTTTCCAGATGAGTGACCAGGTTAAAGTTTTTGGAGCAGGTCCATTCCCAAGTAACTATAAGCCCTACCTGGACCAAACTTGCACGCATGATGCTTCTAGGAATGGACACTCCCAGACTTGTTTCGGATGCTGGATCTGACCTACATTTTCCAGATGAGTGACCAGGTTAAAGTTTTTGGAGCAGGTCCATTTCCAAGTAACTATAAGCCCTTCCTGGACCAATCTTCCATGGATGATGCATCTTGGGATGGACACTACCAGGCATGCTTCGGATTCTGGATCTGACCTACATTTTCCAGATGAGTGACCAGGTTAAAGTTTTTGGAGCAGGTCCATTCCCAAGTAACTATAAGCCCTACCTGAACCAAACTTGCATGGATGATGCATCTAGGGATGGACACTACCAGACTTGCTTCGGATGCTGGATCTGACCTACATTTTCCAGATGAGTAACCAGGTTAAAGTATTTAGAGCAGGTCCATTTCCAAGTAACTATAAGCCCTACCTGGACCAAACTTGCATGGATGATGCATCTAGGGATTGGCACTACCAGACTTGCTTCGGATGCTGGATCTGACCTACATTTTCCAGATGAGTGACCTGGTTAACGTTTTTTTGGAGCAGGTCCATTTCCAAGTAACTATAAGCCCTACCTGGACCAAACTTGCATGGATGATGTATCTAGGGATTGGCACTACCGGACTTGCTTCGGATGCTGGATATGACATATATTTTCCAAATGAGTAACCATGACAATGTGTTTGGAGTAGCTCTATAATTATTTATATGGCCTGTTATGATTTAACTTGCATAGATGGTGCATTCCAGACTTGCTTTGGATGTAGGAAATGAAAGACATTTTCTTGATTAGTGAACAGGTTAAAGTTTTTGGAACAGGTCAATTCCCAACGAACTATAAGACCTACTTACACAGAACTTGCATGAATATTGTTTTCAGGATGCACACTAACTATAAAGAAACTATGATGTGAGATTTGCATTACTTTTACTGATAACATTCGTCGAGGTGAGCTTCGTAATCTTTGATTACCTTTGTTTTTAAGTGTCATCATAATTTCTCACTTAATTGACGCGCAAAAAATTCGTTTGAAGAATAATTTACTGCATGGAATCCACGAAAGACAAATTGCATTTTAATTTAAACATACAAAATGCACAAATGATAACAGCTGATCCAATAAATTGTATACATCTTTGTTTATTCAATACATTCAGCATCGAATATTTAACCATACATGTACATATTAAATGATAAAAATATTAATTCAATTAACACATGCATCCTTTAAAGCTACTGTTCAAACACATAATACATACTCCTAAAGTTTAGAATCAATCGCATACTGTTAAGGTATACCCCTTTCACAAATATCTAACCAAACTACACAGCCGAAATCATACATGAAAATTTATAATGCAGTTATCTTCAAAACCACTTGCAAAACTTGTAAAACTTATTTTAACTGACAGATTTTATATAATTATATGTCTTTTGCAGTAACATAAAGAAACGCGACATTCTATGGTCCGTTCTAACTATAGTACATGTGTACATGTAATTATATTTTAACTTCTATTCTACAGTGGACATCACTCATTAGATTTATATATTAATTTCATATCCACTATGACTCATATTAACAGTGTGCGCACTGTGAGATTGGGGGATAAAGAAAAAACTTTCATGCTGGTGTGTATTTAAAGTAAACCGAAAAATTGCAATACATGTACGAACAACGTTACTGTAATGATGAAAAACTCCATTCTTAAAAACAAAATTAAAGCAGTAACTAGCAAATATTCTATGAAAAGACTAGAAGATGGAGACATAGTGACCAGCAGGTTCAGAATATAGTGTTTTAGATATTATATGTAGTAAAAATGTTGTGCTGAAATTTTAAAGGACAATGTAAATACCACATTTGGCCTCTTATAAAATGATATAAAAATCGAAACACAGTAAAAATCGTGATTGTGATAGTTTGCAAGTTAGAACTTTAATGATGCTTGTTTTAAAACCAGCACTAATTTTGATTCAAAGTGTACATGGAGGACACAAGATGATGACAAAGTAAGCCATTTTACAGAATTGTTTAATTCTGATGGAATTTTATCCAGTATGAGATACTATATATTGAACACAAGCTTGCCTATTGAGAATTTCAAACACAAAATGCCTTTGATACTACTACTTGAAATATAGAAATTTGGTACACAGGAAAGCTAAAGTGTGCCCTGTCCTAAATTTTCTGAAAAAAGTGCTTTTAAATTGATGAAAATTTGAATAAAAATGAGAAAATTCTGAGATTGACATTTTTGTGACCTCTGTGTGTGTCCTATCGCTTAGAATCAATACTCATTTTGTAAATAGGATGAAAACAGGTTTATGATGATGAACTACTGCATCCTTGTTTGAGACACCAGGGGCTAGAAAGAGGTCATATTAGCCTATCTTGTCCATTAAATAAGAAAAATGTGAAATTCAGTATGAAGATTGATGACGAGTCTACTTAAAAAAAAATACTCATAATGAAATTTAGCATTTATAAAAATGACTTTTCACATCATTTACAATTCAATATATATTGTGATAGACCATGCTCGTGGTGACATTTTATCATTCTTGTCTGAAACAGATGGAATATAATATTCGGAAGTCAAATGGCCTGCTCTTTATAGCTCTCAATAATTGAAACAATAACGCTCTCTTATTACAAGGAAAATTAAGTTTTATGGTAGGGAGGATTTGAATCAAACGAACTTTCCGGTTTAAAATTTTCAAATGCGTTTATTACAGTCGTAAAAAGATTATTATTGTCTCATATTTCGCTAAACAGAAGACTCTGAGTATCGAATTCTCATATAAAAATGTTATTTTTGCAGTCGCTTTTTAATGACTTATTTCTTTTGGATAGAAATAATCCCAATTTTCTTCTCAGTTTCACAGATTTCGTGGATAATAAAGTACATGACACCGTCTAACTGCTCAATGCATTCAAACATATCGGTAATATAAATTAACCACATATGCACTCTTTTCATTATCGCATTACTTGGAGATAAAATAGTATGTCTACCCAGAGACATATATAACTGTTATTTATGTCTCTTGTCTACCTTATGGTGTGTGCACGTACATTATTTTGATTTTCAGGACAATACATTCTGCATGGCCTAATGTCTCTTTGTAATATTTGTAAAAGAAACTTCACAGAATACGGTACGTTGCTAACATTGGGAAAAAAATCTGTCTTCCGTGTAATTAATGTAAACAATAGTGCTCATTTGAAAACAATATCACGGACGCGTCTTCTAGATTTTTTGTATACCCAATATACTCGCTACACTATATTCCTTTAACTTTTAGAAAACTTTTTGAAAAGTGGAGATTAAAGAGGATATTAGCCTCATTAGGGTTTTTAGTGAGTACCCGGTTAACCTATTTTTAGTTGTCGGAAGGTTCGATTATCGAATATCAAAATCAATACTCGTTCATTCGGGGGAAAAATGAAATCTACAAATATGCACTAAAAAGCTTTAATGTCCAAATATATTTACGCGTAACTTTAACAAATACATCACGCTGTAGAGATTTGTAATGATACAATTGTTAATCAAGACTTGCGTATACTCCGGGCTAGGGCGCTGATTTTTACTCTTTTCCAGAAGTATATGTTATTTCAACTGTGTATAGAAACCTTTCCCCTTAGCCATCTTCACATTGTAAAACTGACTATGTAGCAGTTTTCAGCCGAAAATGTGGCTATATATATAGTAGACCCCCCCCCCCCCCCGCCCCACGGAAAACTTTCTTTGTAGTGGGATCCCCCATTTATAGCAAGATTATCCCAGGGTAATACTAGTATTAGTAGATTTCCCCCGGTTTCCTACGTTACGTTAACTTTATAGCGGACTGTTCTTTGCAGTAGTTCACAATATTTGATTATCTCAATTAAGTACTCGGTATACATTTTCTATATGAAGATAACGAACAGTAATCAAGCTCAAAAGTCCATTGGAACAGAGCAAACACGGACCTCTAAAACATCAGAGGTGTGATCAGGTGCCTTGGAAAAGGAAGCATCCCCTGTCGACCGGTCACACCTGCCGTGTACTCTTCGTCATGATATCGATCGGGCAAACGGCAAAATATGAAAAAGTATGAAAAAATACCATTATTGGTTTAGTTTTATTATATACGGAGGGATGCGTAACGTTCCTGTTGCATATGTTTTTTTTTTAATTCTTGTTTGTACATGTATTTTGCTCCTTTATACACATTTACTGTTTGTTATACATGTATTTTTAATTTAAAGGATCTTATTGCTGTGATTTTATTGTCTTTTTTCCATTTTTAATTTTCCTTATAATTAATTTTCTATGCGATTTCTTGAATTGATATTAATCAAATTTTCGTCAGTGATAGATCGATATTCTATATTCTGATATCTGATATACTGATATACTTGGTATTTACTATGTTCTGATTCCAGTTCTAATTGATCGCCAATATACTATCTTATTACTAGTACACTTTTTGTGCAGAAAAACTCGTTACATTTTAATTTCTTGAAAAGATATTGAATTCATCTTAATATCCTTCGTACACAAGAAATAATCCCCCTTACATCTTATTTCTTGCCGATTTTAAAAAGGTTTCTTTAATTGAATTGAACATTTTGCATTGTTTAATTCTAATATGTTATTAAGGAGGTTCGATCCTGAGCTTTTGAGCAGATTTTGGTCTGAACCTTTATTTCTAAAATTCTGCATCATTTTTAAGTTCTAACATTAAATCTGGATTCTACAATGCAAATTAAACTATATTCAAAGAAAAAACCGCGATTAAATGCCATTCAAATAGGATTAAGTCAGGGACTATATTTTGTGGCGGAAGGTTTTTTAGAAGAAAATGATCATTTTTTTCCTTTTGAAATATATACAGTACTGTTAAGTTTAGATTCCTATTTTTCCATGCTGGTTGCAAACAGAGCTGTTTTTTGCTGTGAAATGTTTTATTCTGGTTCTGAAATATCTATCAAATTATTTCCTTTGAATTCTTTCATTATTTTGTGACAAATATAGTAAATATATTCTGAAAGTCCAGGAAAAAATTGAGCCAATTTTAACATAGAATTAACACATTTTTAGTAATATCTAAAAATTTATATCATAGACCCCCACTTTTGTTTTTCTTTTCTTAATATATAAGATAACTTTGATCAATCTGCTTAAATTCAGCAAAAGTTTAAGACTTTAAAATAATTTTCTTGCTTGTTAAATTTTTTATGCCAGAAAAATAACATTTTGTGAGTGCAGAAAGGTCAAATAATTGATTATGCGAAGCAATTTGAAACTTTTACTTAGTCACAATTTTAATGAGTCTTTTTTAAATAGACTAATAGTTTATTTTGCCCCATGATTTATTTGGATAAAAACATTGGGGGAAAAACGTTGAAGATGTGATTTTTGATTAAGACACAAATTTCAGTGCAAAAAGGTCATATTTAATGTACTGTAGCGCCAAAAGAAGAATATTGACCCCCATTTTTTGTTTTGATTTTTAATTAAGCTATGTGTGTAGAAACTAAAAATATACTTGACAAAAAAAGTTTAAGACTTTAAATATCAGGATCCAACCTCGTTAAATTGTAATTGTTGATTTTGATATTAAAGGCTCTGACCAAACTTTTTTTGAAAATGAACAATATAGCCTGTTTTCCGGGAGGAAACCCTAATGTGGGGGATAAGCTACTTTACAACACCGGAACTAAACATGTATGTCAAATGCACAATTCCACTTGACGATTTAAAGAAAATCAAATTTCAAACTTGATATAACAAAAATTGTTAAATAAAAGTTGTTCAATTGTTCAAACCTATTGAGTTCTTTATTTTTTGCATCATTCTTATGCAGCAACTTGTAATCTTCAGACGAAAGAGACTTCTAGAAGGAGCAAAGGTATTGAAAATATATATATATATATATATATATATATATATATATATATATATATATATATATATATATATATATATATATATACATATATATATATATATATATATATATATATATATATATATATATATATATATATATATATATATATGTATATTACAAAATTGACCCCACCTTTATGATACGGTGCACATGTATATATACCATATCCAACTACAGATCATCTTATCTTCTATTTATTTATCTCTTTTAATTATAAATTTTCACTTTTTAAAATTTTGCCTTTATTAGGGGGATAAAAATTCAAACTGCAGTCAGGTTAATATAAGGTACTGCAGATATGTTACTTTAATATACATGTATTGTAGATATGTTACTTTAATATACATACACGTATTAAAAAAATCTATTTTGCATCTTATGTTTGAACATTTCACATTACAAAGAGAGATTTCTTAACAATCTCTTATGATAAAAAAATATATCATACAGAGTTGTATATGATGCAAGCATATCCCAGTGTCATCATATCAAGTCACACTCAAACATCAAACGCCACACTACATCATAGTTTGATATCTTTACACAGTAATAAAACAAATTGAAAGAGTCTCGAACCACAGATTTGGGATGTTGATTCCTTCCTAAAATCCAAACGTCATAAGGAACGCCATTCATTTATTTCTTAGAATTAAGTTTCTAAATCTTTTATTCTTCTAGTTATATCAAAATAGTCATTCTGTAGTCAGGACACATCTTTTGAAATCAATTATTTCCAACAGTTAGCGGTATTCACCTTATCAACAAACACACAGTCGTAAGTAATCCCACCACATAAAGATTATTCCGCATAGGTGAAATGCATCCTTTTTGCCCATTCTTACCTACAACAAAAAAATTGATTTAAAAAAAAACATGTATTGATAGAACGAATTTTTTTCACAATTCACTAATATATTGAAGATCATGTAACTCAGTATAAAACTTTTTTAGAAGAAAACCTAATTACTGACCAACCATTTACCATCACTGAAGTTAAGAACTTAATTCATAAGCTTAAAATCAATAAAAGTGCAGGACCAGATCTTATTCCTAATGAAATATTAAAACATAGCTCAGTGGTTACTTGTAAATCTATAGTTAAACTACTTAACTTAATATTGAATACTGGAGAATACCCATCGGCATGGAGAAAATAATTTATTGTTCTAATCTATAAATCTGGAGATAAGAATGACCTAAATAATTATAGAGGTATCTCACTTCAGAACTGCATAGCAAAACTTTTTAGTGCTACACTTAATAAAAGATTAATGCTACATTATGATAAATTATTCTCAAAACAACAATTTGGCTTTAGAACAGATCACAGAACAACAGACAGCCTTTTTGTTCTTAAAACTTTAATAACAAAATATATTGTTCGAAATAAAACAAAAATACATGCCTGCTTTGTAGATCTGCGCAAAGCATTTGACACTGTTTGGCATAATGGCCTTTTATACAAATTAATGAACAATCAAATTGGTCAAAATTTTTTAAAAGTTATTCAAAGTATGTACAGATCATGTGAATCAGCTGTTCAGCAAATTCGAAAACACTCATTCCAATTATTTTAAACTTGATAGAGGGGTAAAACAAGGGGATAGTCTAAGTCCAACATTATTCAACTGTTTTATTAATGATCTACATGACACATTTGGTCAGTCATGTGATCCACTTATTCTCAAAAAGACACATGTATCTAGTTTAAGCTTTGCAGATGACCTTGTTCTGCTCTCAGAGTCCCATATTGGTTTACAGAATACACTGAACAAATTGCAGAATTATTGCTTAAATTGGCAACTAACTGTTAATACTACAAAAACAAAAGTTTTAACTTTTCAAAAAATATATAAACCAACTCCTGTTTTTTATTATGATAATCACCCTCTTGAAGAAGTAAAAGAATATAATTTCCTTGGAACAATAATTGATCACAAAGGTAGTTTAAACAAAGGAGTACTAGAGCTGTCTAAGAAAGGCTTAAAAGTAATATTCTCCCTAAGAAAAATCTTCTCCAATTTCACACAATTACCTGTGAATTTGTCTTGTAAATTATTTGACACTCTTATTCGCCCTATTTTATGCTTTAATAGTGAAATCTGGTTTATGGATGATTATCTTCCTTCATACAGAGCAATACTTAGAGCAATGAAAAATAACAACTCATGTGATAATCTCGCTTTATAAGAAAAATCTGTCTATGAAAAAGTAAATGCTAGATATTGTAAAACAGTTCTAGGACTCAACAAACAGCATGCAACATTTCATCATTGTGTGAACTAGGTAGACTTCCAGTTTCTTCTTTTATTAAAACTCAAGTTATGATGTACTTTGTACGACTAAACTCTCAGAATGTAAACCCCATGATTGAAGAATCATATAATATCAATATGTCTTTGCATGAAGAGGGATTTTACTCGTGGCATACCCTCGCACTGTCTTTATTTAAAGAAAATAATTTAAATAGCAATGACTACAGGAAAAAAAATGAAAAATTTGACAACATTCGAAATTCGGTTAAAAAGAAGTTGAAGAAAATAGTACTAGATAATTATAACTGCAAAACTATGGAAAAAATATCCAAATTCACAGAAAACTCCAAACTGTATTTGTACAGTAAAATAAAACACAATCTTGATATGGAAGAATATCTTATGCTTGAAAATAGTTTCAAGAATAGACAATTACTAACCAAGTTTCGAACAAGTGACCACTGCCTACTGATTGAAACTGGTAGACATAAGAAAATACCTCGACAACAAAGATTATGCACTTCTTGTAATGCTATTGATGATGAATTTCATTTCTTTTTACAATGTAATTTGAATATACAAGCAAGGAATATACTTATAAAAACCATGTTAGATAATTGTTCCTCATTTTATCTCAAATCACCTATACAGAAACTTGAATATATACCTAGCCCAACAATTGAAGTTATACCGGCTGTTTTTACTTTTATAAAACAATCATTAGAATTAAGAAAATAAAAGGTCCACATCGGTGTAACATATAAGGAGTGAATTACTTAAATTGCGCCTATTGTATAAATACATTCATTGTTCTTTGTTTTTTTCTTATTATGAATTGTATTGCTTGACCCATATGGGTGTATTATGCAATAAAGAATATTATTTAATATTTATTTCTTAATTCAAAACTTTATTGACATTAATCAACTTCTTAATTAACTATGGAGGAAAACTTTTTTCAATTATGAAAATCCGGAAGATGCGCTTTAATCTTTGAAAAATATCACTTTGACCAGTTGTGCTTTGGAAATTCGTAGAAAGTGGCTGTTGGTAGTGAGAGTCTGCAAACTCATTCTTCTAAAAGTATCAACAATATTTCCACTAGTGTCAGTATATACGAGGGTTGATCCAAAAGTATAAAAGTATCAACAATATTTCAACTAGTGTCAGTATATACGAGGGTTAGTCCAAAAGTATAAAAGTATCAACAATATTTCCACTAGTGTCAGTATATACGAGGGTTAGTCCAAAAAGTATAAAAGTATCAACAATATTTCCACTAGTGTCAGTATATACGAGGGTTAGTCCAAAAGTATAAAAGTATCAACAATATTTCCACTAGTGTCAGTATATACGAGGGTTGATCCAAAAGTATAAATGTATCAACAATATATCCACTAGTGTCAGTATATACGAGGGTTGATCCAAAAGTATAAAAGTATCAACAATATTTCCACTAGTGTCAGTATATACGAGGGTTGATCCAAAAGTATAAAAGTATCAACAATATTTCCACTAGTGTCAGTATATACGAGGGTTGATCCAAAAGTATAAAAGTATCAACAATATTTCCACTAGTGTCAGTATATACGAGGGTTGATCCAAAAGTATAAAAGTATCAACAATATTTCCACTAGTGTCAGTATATACGAGGGTTGATCCAAAAGTATAAAAGTATCAACAATATTTCCACTAGTGTCAGTATATACGAGGGTTGATCCAAAAGTATAAAAGTATCAACAATATTTCCACTAGTGTCAGTATATACGAGGGTTAGTCCAAAAGTATAAAAGTATCAACAATATTTCCACTAGTGTCAGTATATACGAGGGTTGATCCAAAAGTATAAAAGTATCAACAATATTTCCACTAGTGTCAGTATATACGAGGGTTGATCCAAAAGTATAAAAGTATCAACAATATTTCCACTAGTGTCAGTATATACGAGGGTTGATCCAAAAGTATAAAAGTATCAACAATATTTCCACTAGTGTCAGTATATACGAGGGTTGGTCTAAAAGTAATGTCACAACTGCTATAAAATATTTAATAAGCGAATGATATCAAGAAAATTTCATACTTAAAAACCTGTATCTAATTTAAAATTTGCCTTAAAATTTCATTAAGATATATGCAGTACTATTTAAAATATTAAAACAAACACAACATAGGGGCTCCTCTTTCGCCACACGACAAGAATGCACCGACGTCGTTATGACGTTTCTCTTCGGCACTCATTTTCAGTTCATCCACAACTAAGTTCTACACAAAAAGGAATGAATTTAGGAATAAAATTTGGACAAAGTTCAAATAATTTTAAAACATCCACGCAAAACAAGACTCTTTAGAGCAAAATGTCAGTAAAGATTTTTAAAAAGAAGCACGTGAGAGGTTTAAAAAGATATGCGGATGAACTGAAAATAAGTGCCGTAGGAATACTTTTTAGGGGCCGAATGGGGTTTCCATTGCAAAATGCTTCGCACAGTATGTAAGTAAATATAGCATAATGATTAAGTAATTACTTTAACACTATTTAAATGAAGAGCATGCAACCCTATAAAAAACGGAACAGAATTCTGAGATGGTCCCTAAAAATATTCAGATCATATCCTAAAATTGTTGGGAGTTTGATAGGCCACAATAAGGGTTCAAAATTTAACATAATAATATACAAGTAAACGAAAAAAAAATCTTTAAAACATCTAAAGAAAAATATGACATGGGTGAGCATTCTCGCCAATGGTCCTCTTTCGAAAAAAAAATTAATGTTATGATGTTAATATGTTATGACACGAAGTTTATTTATTAAGTTATTGAAGCCTACAATCAGTTTTGAGTATTGAGTTATGTAAGAACTAGAAATATGTGCATAGGACATGAATGCCCCGTCGAGGGTATATTAGAAATGCAACATGAAAATTTGAATTAGTGTATGAAATTTGATGAGAATATCTTGAATAGTTTCTTTAAAATTGAAATTGAAATCTAAAAAGTTGGATATAGATGATAAATTCTCGCCAAATTATGTATAAGTGCATAAAATTACATAAATATATCTTAAATGGTTTCTTTAAAATTAAGAAAATGCAAATCTAAGAAAAGTGAGGTCAAGGTCACAGGAGAGTTCAAGGTCAAATGTTTTTGATGCAGTTGACTACTTCTCACAAATACGTATCAGCATATTTAAGTTTGATTAAAATATTTTAAATGGTTTATTTAAAACTGAGCTATACACTAATTTAAAATAAATGAAGTTAAGGTCAAAGAAAAGGTCAAGGTCAAAAAATGTTGATACAGTTGAAAAAGTTACATCAGTATGTATTAGCATTTGAAGTTTGATAAAAATATTATGAATGTTTTCTTTAAAACTGAGTTAAACACAAATTGAGAGAAGTGAGGTCAAGGTCAACGGAAAGGTCAAGGTCAAAAAATATTGATCCAGTAGAATAGCTTACATCAGTATGTATCAGCATATAAGTTTGACACTAATTTAAGAAAAGTGAGGTCAAGGTCAAAGGAATGGTCTAGGTCAAAAATGTTGATGAAGTTGAATAGCTTACATCAGTATGTATCAACATATGAAGTTTGATTACACTATCTTGAATGGTATCTTTAAAACTGAGCTAAACACTAATTTAAGAAAAGTGAGGTCAAGGTAAAATGAAAGGTCAAGGTCAAAAAATGTTGATGCAGTTGCATAGCTTACATCAGTATGTATCAACATATGAAGTTTGATTACACTACCTTGAATGGTATCTTTAAAACTGAGCTAAACACTAATTTAAGAAAAGTGAGGTCAAGGTCAAATGAAAGGTCAAGGTCAAAAAATGTTGATGCAGTTGCATAGCTCTCATCAATATTTATCAGCATATGAAGTTTGATAAAAATATCTTGGATAGTTTCTTTAAAACTGAGCTTTGAACAGAGCTAAACGCAAAGTGTGACGGAAGGACAGACGGAAGACGGACATGACAAACACTATATGCCCCGGCCATATTCATGGCAGGGCATAAAAACAAGTGAATTTCTCCAACTAGGTGGAATAATAATCAAGAGGCCCAAGAACTACAATGCTTACTTGAGTCACCTTGGCCCTGCTGTTCTTCAAAGACAGTTTTTTTAATTCCCCCTTTATTCGCATGACAAATTTTGACCCCCATACTGTGACTCCACTTTATCCCCAGTGAGTCATGAATTAATCAAACTTGAATCCACTACACGTGGGTTTCTGATGTAAATATGACAAATGCAGACTTGCTGTAAAGGATCAAATTAAAATAGATTTTTCTTTAGATTCATATATAATGTAAAATGTTATCCCTGATTCTAGCTGCAGCTTAATCCAAGTATCCATAATTTAAATTTAAAGAAGCCTGAATCCATATGGAATCCACCAATACTGCACATTGCTACTCTAAAAAATTATAAATTTCTCATCATCCAAGCATGTTTGTAAATCTTTGATCTCCTGTGGTGGCCCAACTCTACCCCAGGGGGCTATGATTTGGACAAATTTTAATCTTCACTATGCCAGGGAACTTCCACGCAAGTCTCACCTTTTGTGGCCCAGTGTTTCTTAAGAATTTTTGTAAAATTCCATCCTTTTTGGCCTTTTCTTACTTATCTTCCCTTGAAAAGGGGCATGGGTCTTGATTTGAATCCCCTTCTTCCTATGATACTTTGTGCCAAGAATGGCCTAGTGGTTATGAAAAAGATGAAAATAAGAAGAGTTTACGAGGACGACAACCTCGCCGGCAGACAGCAGACAAATTCCGATCAGAAAGCTCACTTTAGCCTTTGCATGGCGCAGGTGAGCCAAAACAAAAGTATTGTAAATGAAGATAGTACCAATATCAATACAGATTTGTACGATACAACAGTTTTTCATGCAAAAGAAGAAAAAAGGGGAAGATGTTTTATAAAACCTTGCTTACAGTTATTGGATAGACTCAGTTAACATTGTCCGTAACTTTGTGTACATTGTATATACGTCAGTAAAAGAAAATAAAAAAGTGCGCAAAACATTTCTTAGATTTAGGCCAAGCAGACGGTGATTCTAAAAATTGAAAAAAATTAAACCACATGATTCACAGAAAAGGAAGAATTTAATTTAATTCAACACCGCTGTTGGAACTTACTATCACAACTATGAGCCAACATGAGCGGTACATCCTTTATATAAAGACTGAAAAGCGCAGTCACCAGGATTATTTTTCCTATTCGTCGGATCGGCGTAAATTGAGATCTTTTTAAGTAAAGATAAAAGATGTGCATGAAATGTTTGTTTACATGTGCATCGGGGATTGCATGATTTTTGATGTGCGTGTCGGCATTAATAAGAATATCCTTGAGGAAGTCATTTTAAATGTAAATGGTTGGTAGACAAACAAATAGAAAATAGATAAACCTTCTCCGAAATAATCATGAACACATGAAATATGAAGATAACAAACATTAATCAGGTTCAAAAGTCCAATAAAAATACAAAGTGAGATCGAAACAAACACAAACCAGTGGTGGGATCAGATGCCATAGGGGAGTGCCTATCTCCTCTCTACCGGTCAGGTATGCCGTTTGTTATGATCGGGTAAGCGGAAAAATACGTGCACAATTCAGTCATTGAAAACAATGGACTTACAATTCGTATAGAAAATCAACATTCGACCAAACGACAGATTGAATTTGCAAGCAAGATCACTGTATCGACCATCTGCAAAATTTTTACTTGTATTATCAACTTATTTAACAGTAACCTGTCTCGGTGTAGAAATTAATCGCACATACAACATGATTTTGCGTAACAAATCAACTGGGAAACTTAAACACCATATGCAGTGATAACAGTGTATTGCTACAAAAGCTGAAGCCATCCTGTTTATCCAGAAAGTTTAGGTGTTAGATTGCCATCAATGTTTTTTTTCTCTAGTAAAACATCTGAATTAGAAGAGGTAAGTTAGATTCTGTGGTTTCTTTTATATCGATTTCAAGAGAATATATCAAATCAAAGTATGAATGAAACTGAATATTGTTAAGTGATAAATATCTAAATGTGGAATTGAAGGCCACAGTAACTGCACACCAAATTTAACTAAAAGAAATTCGACTTGGAAGTCATATTTTGCAAAACATGCCAAAGTGCACATTGAGTTTTCTTTGACGTTGTTAAAGATAACGGTAAATGGACGACAGTAGAAAGAAATGCATAAGTGATTACAGTGTTCTAATGCTTCTATCTATTACATGTACCACATCAAACAAAATACAGTAACATGTTCTAGGACTATGAAACAAATCACTAGATCTACTTAATGAACTGCTGACCTTGTGGTTTCTTTATTGGTGCAAGCCGATGTGTTTGCAATCGATCCTCTAATTAAAATAAAGCAAATTTAAAACAAAGTGAAAATCATGATATGCTTTTAAAAATATCTGCTACTATCAGTCGTTTAAACATAATATTTTCTTCTCTCCTTTATTTAGCATGCCTTTCTTTACTTTTATATACATGTATAGTTGTAGTTTGTATATACATGTATAGTTGTAGTTTGTATATACATGTATAGTTGTAGTTTGTATATACATGTATAGTTGTAGTTTGTATAAACATGTATAGTTGTAGTTTGTATATACATGTATAGTTGTAGTTTGTTACATCAAAGATAACATACTGCTGTGATAGTCTGGCCTGGGTGTAATGGGTATAAAACCGGGAGCCCACGTGAAGATATACTCATGTATGGTTGTGGTAGTCCTCTTGGTCGATCTTGGAGTGCTGGGAGCCGGAGTTGGTGGTTTAAGCTCTAAAAATGACACATATTTGGATTTCATCCTTGCTTACAAGATATGGTTTGTAAATTTTAATTTTCCTAAGATTTGAAGAATTGCTACTGATCCAACTGTATGTGTAGTGTGATAAATCGAGTTTCTTTTCCTTCTAGACGACAAATACAAACCAATAAATTTCAAATAAGAATACATTGTACACTATTGAGTATTCAAAAGGATTATTTAATATCAAATGAAGAAACCATCGACATAACCGATATTTTTATTTTAAAACGCCTGTAATGACACATAACACGTTTAAGTACCAAATTTCTTACCATAAAGAAATGTATCTTGGTAATCTCGACCAAGTTCATTCTGTGCTTCACAGCGATAAGCTCCAAAGTCCGATTCCTGAATATCTGATATCTTTAAACTAAGTATCAATGTATTTTTATATTCTTCATAAAGATCAATTTTGAACTTTTCATTGTTTTGTATTGGAATGCCGTCTTTTGTCCATGCACTGTACACTTGTGGGTTTGCTGTCACTTTGCAATCTAAAATTGTCTCTTTTCCAAGTCGTTGCTTAATTTTTCTGTTTGTCAAATGTATCTCTGGAGGAACTGAAAATAATTGTATTAGCATATATACAATAAGATAAACAATTTGGTTGTCTTTAAACAAGTTAAAAACAATAAAGGCAATACATGTAAATAATTATCGTAATATATAGTTCATATTCCTTCTTTCACCGTTTAATATTGATAATTACATGTAGTTGTGTATTGTGTTTGTTAGTTACCCACACTGTACTGTTACTGTTATTTCTCGACTGGCAGATGGTTGCACGCTATTATTAGCAAAACACCTGTACAAATCATCACAATACCGGCTTATATTTCGTATCTGTAGCACCATTCCATCATACCCTACCACTACAACCATAAAATATTGATGTAAATAGAACAATCTTAAACTCATTTTTAGACTACTTATATTCATTCTAGAGCAAAATGAGACGTACGCAGCAGAATTAGAAAGAGATTCTGAAATGAAATTAATGCTGTCCAAAATATAAAATAATATACCGAATTCCAAAGAAAGACATGCAATTGCAAATGTCATCTTAAGTTTTCTACCAACAGAAGTTTTAAACCATTCGAAATAGAAATGTTCAATAAAGCTTAATGATCCATGTAGAGTATTTATTGTAGAATGGAAAGAAGACAGAGAAGCACAATCAATGCGCTAAAGTTTTGATACCTTTCATATTGTCATGGTTTCTGCTGTACCACGTGACTGTCGGTGTAGGAACACCTGTCACATTACAGACGAGCTGGATTGTATCACCTTCTTTGGCAGTAACTTTCCGTGGACTAGAAAGCTCGGGTATGATAGTGGGCGGTTCTATAATAAGAAACGAAGCATCACTTAAATACTGATTTAAATATCATATTCGTCATAAAGTAGTATAATATTGAAGGTAATGGCATATCTCAACCAGAAGTCTCTGATGAGACTGTAGCTCTACTGGTCTGTACATATAACAAAGGAAAAGTAGCACTTGAATTTGAAACTTTGCAACAAGAAACAATAAATAGAATAATGTATCTTAATGTAGTCTACTTCTGTGCCAAGTTAAATTGAAATCAAACCAAAACTGTAGGAGGAGTAGCGTTTTGAAAGTATTTCACAGAAATTTCTATTTTTAGTAACCATGACAACACCATTCACTGAAATCAAAAACCGAAATACATATTATGTATCTTAGTGTATTCTAATTGTGTGCCAAATTAGACTGAAATCAGACCAAAACTGTAGGAGGAGTAACGTTTTAAAGGAATTTCACAGAAATTTCTATTTTTAGTAACCATGACAACACCATTCACTGAAATCAAAAACCGAAATACATATTATGTATCTTAGTGTATTCTAATTGTGTGCCAAATTAGACTGAAATCAGACCAAAACTGTAGGAGGAGTAACGTTTTAAAGGAATTTCACAGAAATTTTTATTTTTAGTAACCATGGCAACACCATTCATCGAAATCAAAAACCGATGCACTAAATTATGTATCTTAGTGTAGTCTACTTGTGTGCCAAGTTATATTGAAATCAGACCAAAACTGTAGGAGGAGTAGTGTTTTAAAGGAATTTCACAGAAATTTCTATTTTTAGTAACCATGGCAATACCGTTCATCGAAATCAAAAACCGATGTACTAACTTATGTATCTTAGTGTAGTCTACTTGTGTGCCAAGTTATATTGAAATCGGACCAAAATTGTAGGAGGAGTAGCGTTTTAAAGGAATTTCACAGAAATTTCTATTTTTAGTAACCATGGCAACACCGTTCATCGAAATCAAAAACTGATGCACTAACTTATGTATCTTAGTGTAGTCTACTTGTGTGCCAAGTTATATTGAAATCAGACCAAAACTGTAGGAGGAGTAGCGTTTTGAAAAATTGTTTACAGACAGACGGACGACGGACACCTTACTATCGCATAAGCTCTTCTGATCTCTGACCAGTAGAGCTAAAAATGAAAACCCTTCAAAATTCTTTTAATAAAATTACAAATCTTTTATTCAATGACATTGTAAGAATTCTGATTTTAAAATGGTTACGATATGTGGATTTGTTGACTTTTTTCCTAGTAAATTTGGTATGACTAAAATTCATACAATTCTCTACCCCCTTGTAGAATTAACAATTTAGTCCATTCTCCAAAGTAACATTTTAGTATATTTTGAGTACAGACTTTTAAATATTTCATATTTATCTATCTCTTGAATGGAGCTACAAAATGATCGCTAAGATTGCCTTCTATACCCAGGGGTACAAATTTTATATAAGATTATTTTTGGTGTTAATTTTGCTCACCATGAACAGACAACACTACATATTTGATTTTAACTGGAACGGTGTTGATCTGACACATGTATTTTCCCGCGTCAGAGAGTTCAACTCCGTGAATAAATAAGTTCCAGTCGCTGATGTGGGGTCGTTCTATAGTGATTCTTTCATCTGCTATTATCCTTCTCGTCTCCAGCGTAAGAGTTTTCAATCTGTGGTCTAGCCACATCACCTGTAAATGTGATTTTACAAATCAAATCTTAAGTCCCATTTTAAGCTTAACACCTTTCCAATGAATTCTTAAGTGGAATCAACGGATCAAAATATGTCTCATGTAAATTTAATGTGTTCTAGGGATTATCATAACCTTTAATGCCTTTTAAAAGAGTTCAACCCAATTTCTCTTGGATTTTCGAGGAGACATTCTATATAAGCGTTAAAAACGAATTTTAAAAGAAAAGTTCATCGATTCTCTGGATAATATAATGTTGAAATTATCAAAACCAGGAATAGAAAATGTATTCAGCTTTAGCCATCTATTAATGCCATGTTGTTCATCAGTGTCTCTTGAGTGCTTTCTGCACCTATACATTCATTCAAAAGTGTAAAGAGGACAATGCATACACAAAAGCAGACGAAGGAACTCTGTAAGGACTATATGTGCAAGTCCAAGAGATCAGTAATTGTTTTGAAACATATATCTCAGAGACGCAAGGCATAAAAGCTATTTCTCTTTCGATGACAAATACACAGACTCCATTTTCAATAATGCATGGTAAATACTGATTTATCACGACTAGTAAATGACACACCAGTAGAAAGAGGAAAACGTCATTATTTATCCGTATTTCAACTTAGGAAAGGGGGTTCCTCCGATATAAATTTACAATTTATTTGAATCTTGATTTCAATTCCGCTGACAGAAATAATAATAGATTTCAAAGCGAATTACGGCATGATGATGCTCGGTTTACGAGCCTAATTTAAATGGGTTTTCATCATACGAATTTTGTATTTGGTGGGGGAATGTGTCATGAAATATTAATAACACATATTACAGAACAACAAAAGATAGACCTTTGGGAAATATTTCATCTTTTATGGTCGACTTCAATTACATTGGCGCTGTTTACAGTGCTATAGAGGATAGCTAAAACTATAACCGGATAATGTTTCTTGAAGTCTTTATACAGTTAGTCACGGAATAAGGATGTCGTGGAATATCCAGATCATTGAACAAGCTATTTCCCTTATTTTAGTTTTTATAAGTTAAATGATCTAACTCTTGTAAGTAAACTTCTTGTACATCTACAGACATACCTTTGGATTCTATCTGTTGAGTTGTAATTTCTATATAGTCTAATGGCAATTTCCGTACAAAGAATCAATTTGAGACAACAGTACTCTGAGTTTTAAAAAGTAAAACATATTTTTGAATTATACAAGCCTGGATACTACTTTTTAGTGGAGCTTATATTTGATGTCTTTTGCGAAATTTGTTTTGTGCTAATTTATAAAATATGATTTTACTGTATACAGGGTTATTTTTGCCCCGTGTTATTTCCGCCCTCTCTTACTTGCAAACAATTTTGTCCAGTTTTCAATTCGCCTAGACATTTGTTTAAGAGATAATTGCTGTCTTATTTGAATTCGCCACGTTTTAAATTCGTCCACCTGCGACAAGGGCAAAAGAGGCGAAAATAAAACGGGGTGAAAAATTCCCTGTATACAGGATATGAATATACAACATGGGACTGCTAATAACGTTAATTATAATTGTGCAAGTTGTCCCTGACCTATCTTTGCGAGAAAATTTAATAAGTTATTTTTTTTAATCAAACTCTTACGATCTACTATAGGCAATCCAATTATAAATTATAAATAATCATGCGTGCCCCTTTCCTGTATTTTCTAGGTATATGGACCCTTATCTATTATGGTTACCATTTTTATCTTTCTTTGTCAGCTATTTTCCACATCTTATAGTACATTTCAAGGACCATTTTTTCTTTCTTTTCACTCCTTGTCGAAGAGCTCTTGCGGGATCGGGTACCTCGATGGTATATCAAGACTTAATATGTCATAAAATTTCGTAGAAATCTTGAATGCCGTGTAGATATCAAATAAGTACATCAAGAAACAGGACAACTACCACATAAATTTATCCAGGATAGACTCTGATGAAATTTTACTGTAGGCAGACTAATTATGGACGATTATAGGTAGACGACTATCATCAATCTCTCTTATGGTCTTTAAGACAAATTGTATGCTCTCATTAGATATCTCCTGCTACATAACAGGTTTCATGACAACAATGATAACAAGAGATGTATATAAACCTCAATCGATCAAGCCATACAATATTCTTGTACAAAAAGGGATTGTTCTTTAAAAACATTTATAAATTCAAAGTGAGACAAAGTGTACATCGCTGATAAACACAGTAAATAATCCAGATAATTGATCAGTAGGAACATATTGTGTTTCCAAAATTCTCCCAGGGGTTACAACCTTCAATAATCATAGGATATCATTTTCAAAATTGTCCACTTGAGTTAGTATTCATATTGATGGGAATACAGTACTTTATTTTATTGTAGAATCGTTTATAAGACTTTGGCAACTATTTCTTTGCACAAACATAGCATTAGACCTCATGGGAGATGTGTTATAATATAACTGAGGAAGATGGAAAGACGAAGTAAGGGCGGTGAATAAGAATCGGGCTTTTTCCAGGAATAATTGTACATGATCAGGCCCTGGGATTAAGAAGCAGTTTAAGTCAAATTTCAGTCATTCATAAAATAAATATTTATAATAAAATGATTCTTGAAAACAAAGTGTACAGCATGAAAGGGAAAAAACATTAACATTTCAAATTTTATGTGGTTTCTATAATAAATTATTAATTAAACCAATTTACAAATGTTGACTTAAGTCTAAGACTGCTTTATGTATGATTCTGTGGCCTGATCATCATCAAATACATGCTGACCGAACATCTCTTTTCTTAAACTTTAGAGTTGTGTAAATCTATCTAACATAATACCCCCCCCCCCAAAAAAAATGAAAATAAACATGTTACGAGTGAAAATACCTATACAATGGTCAACGTGTCATGAATTGCTTTGTATTAAATCAAAGTATTCATATAAGAAAGATCCCTTTCCAAAAAAGTTATTTTTTAATGAATTTAAGGAAGTATATGAACATAAGCTAGATATATGTTAAATGACACTACTTGACACTATTTAAATAAATTCCTGACAAACTGTTTGAAGTTTCTGTATATAAAACAGAGCTGGAATATAAATATGAATTATGAATTTTAGTTTGAAACATTCATGCCTGTGAGGAAAATCAAAATTGTGTCCTTATGAACATTCGGTTCAGAAATGTATTTCTTTAATACTATTAATCAGAACAGATTCATGACATTAAAGAACATTGTACACTTTTCTCTGTTCATTTATAACGTTGTTGTAACATTTCAATTTACAGGACCGCATCATTCAATCATTTAGCTTTTAATCTGCACTGAATTTGTGTTTATCTGTGTGCAAAATAAAGTATTAATCAATCAATCGAAGGAATTGTATAAAAAAAAATAGTCCTATTTTATAGTTAGTAAACATGCGTGTTGACAACGACATGGAGGGAATAAGTGTCTTTAACCTGCCATAGCTCATGACGAACATACGTTTTGCTTATGACCTTTGAAAAGTGCACAGGAGCTTGTGGACAGGACCTCCCTCCCCCATGAATATACACCACGGGTATTAAGATATTTTTTGTCTTCTTTCATAAATTAATCTTCTAGTACATATTTACAATGTATTTCACATGAAAAATCCAAAAAATAACGTAGAATTAACGTTTTATTAAAAAATCATACCCGCGGTACACCATTTTATAATACCGCGGGAATGATTTTAAAAAAAAAACAAAAAAACAAGCACTAGTGGAAAAGTGTGGGAATGTAGGTTTTACAAATCTCTGACAATATTTAACATTCCACTTTTATATAAAGATTTCTGTAATAATCTTGTAGAACATCATAAATGTCGTGCAGAGATCAAATAACTACATCATAAAACAGGATAATTCACAAAGTAACAGAATTATCTAAGGCAGATTTTGATGAAATTTTACTGCAGGCAAACCAATTACGGACGATTAGGTAGATACATCAATCTTTCTTCACGTCTTTAAGACAAATTGCACGCTCTCACTAGATACTATTTGTATATTCTAAGTAGAAATTTACAAGCAATGATCAAATACCCCTTGAACCATGATCACATTAATAGCAAATGAATTCAAGTAAAGGAATTTCGAATTAAGTCAATTGGAAGTTTTCTGAAAATAAAAGACAACCATAGTTCTGATTTCGTATAAAATATTATCGTATGTACCATAAATGTTAAATTACAGTTAGCAGAAATAGTTGTAATGATCCTTCCTTGTAATAATGTAGATAATGATCCTACCTTTAATCCTGTAGGTAATGATCCTACCTTGTAATCCTGTAGGTAATGATCCTATCTTGTAATGATCCTACCTTGTACTCCTGTATGTAATGATCCTATCTTGTAATGATCCTACCTTGTAATCTTGTTGGTAATGATTCTACCTTGCAATGACCCTACCTTGTAATTCCGTAGGTAATGATCCTACCTTGTAATCCTGAAGGTAATGATCCTACCTTGTAATTCCGTAGGTAATGATCCTACCTTGTAATGATCCTACCTTGTAATGATCCTACCTTGTAATCCTGTAGGTATTGATCCTACCTTGTAATGATCCTACCTTGTAATCTTGTAGGTATTTATCCTACCTTGTAATCCTGTAGGTAATTACCCTACCTTGTAATCCTGTAGGTAATGATTCTACCTTGTAATGATCCTACCTTGTAATCCTGTAGGTAATGATTCTACCTTGTAATGATCCTAACTTGTAATCCTGTAGGTAATGATCCTACCTTGTTATCCTGTAGGTAATGTTCCTACCTTGTCATCCTGTAGGTAATGATCCGACCTTGTAATGATCCTACCTTGTAATTTGTAGGTAATGATCCTACCTTGTAATCCTGCAGGTCCTTTATAGAACATGGCAGCGTTACCGTCTCGCCCGCAATTGCTGTGACATTGGTGATCGGTACGTCAAAACTGGGATCTAACGTTTCTACTGAAAAGAGGTACACAACAGATTTAGACAACTAAGAAAATCTTTAAAAAAGAGAATGTGTAAATGTGATTCTCCCTTTAGACAGATACATTTTTACTCGGTTTAAATTAAGTGTTGGGATATCAACGTAGCTTACTTTTTATAAGGAATAAAACTCGGATGTAAAGATGTACACAACAGATTTAGACTAATCAATAACTAAAGTCTTAACATGCTCTTCTTAATATTTCAGAATACAGAGATGTGCAAAATATGAATACTCTTCTTAGACAAGGAATTGTTTTTACTTTGATACAATATCAGGTGTTATTACAGTGCAATGAACATAGATTCCTTATGCTAAGCATTGTTATGATTTAAACCAGATCTTGATGTCAAAAACTACTGTGTGTTGTAAAATTCATGAAGATGAGGTAAAAGGGAATTATTTTGTATGATTATTTACTAAAGTCAGTTAATAGGTACAATCAGATACAAATTTTTGACCGGAAAACATGAAAAATAAATATACCATAAATGTGAGAAAATGCATATATAGGATCAGGCTTCAAATGAAAAAAAAATGTTTAGATTCCGGCAAAGCAAAAGAACATGATAGACATGATAAGCACTTACTATAACCCTAATGTCAACTTGCAAGTGAAGTAATATTTACTCGGAGTGCATTTATTTGTCTTTTATTCTCTTTCATCCCACGATTACCAAAGAATTATCACGGGCACATTCAGTCCTGGTATTCCCCATCGAGGGTTGCCATACAATTTGTATCAATAATTAATATGCTAACTGATTGCAGTCTCCATGTTACGTTATTTGTTTTTTCCTTGCAACTTGGCATTGACATGTGCAAAGGAATAAACTGCTTTGCCATTGGTATAGGCCCAAGATATGTACTATTGATAGTTTCTCACTGACATGAGTCATTATAGTTAGTGACATAAACCAAATCCATCAAAATATCTGTTCCCAGTAGAATGAGGATGTATTACTTAATGAATTTCTTGGACTGACCTCCGACATTTGACCCTTTAAAGGTCATCTTATGCGAACGGCAAACCAGGAAACAAATGAGGTAAAACTATTGATTCCAAGCATAACAGGGACCAAGACAAATGCTCTTGTCTGAATTAGGGTGCTTTTCTATTCAAAGTTCCAGAAATTATATGTCAAAATTATTTCGGAGGCATCTAGAAAACTAATTACGTAAAATTCAATATGGTTCTCTACACTAAATTGCTTTTCCTAAATTACTACTTTTTCTCAATTCTTTCTTGACAAGAAATGAGAATTTCAGGGACATATTAGTTTCTTTCCTTGAACACAACATGTATAGCTGTCTGGTGCTTTATATAGTTTTTGTCCATTTCAACATCAGACATTTGTCTGATATCACATCCATAGGTTAAGATTAATTTAAACAAACCATCGGGCCTAGATTATAAAACTGCGTACTCGTTTCACATAAAAATATGAATAATAAATTGCAGTTTCTTTCTATCCTATACTATGGACCATCGTCTATGTAGTTGTATGCTTACTGCATTAATAAGAATCATTAGGTTTTACAATTTACTTTTGAAATGTTATACAGATCCTTGCTAGAAAATGCCTATACTTTGACAGTCTCTTTTTTGCAGCTGATATGCTAGGTAGCAGAGAAAGGATAAAATTGATAACCAACACGTCTTATTATCATGTAGCATACATGTATATATCAAAAATCAACGTGACTAAATATTGCATTAATTTTATTTATTTTAATTCAGTACTTTATGTTTGTACCGATGACAGGTTCACAGCTATTTTTCATATAGAAATTAGAACCTAGATGATGATGCTGTAATGAAATAAATAACATTAATATCACAATATCTATGCACATCCTGTATGGACATGTTCTCAACAGAAAACTTGCTTCAGAAATGCTTCTGTCATTACTGGTTGATTTGTCAGGGGGTTTCAAGAACTGAACGGTCGTTTAGAAAACTCAAAGAACTCACATAAAAATACACACCTATAAATTCTAGTGATTCCATGTTTTGCTGGTAGGATTACATGGTTAAGGAGGGGTTATGTCTCTACTAGAAATAGTCATTCATAATCAGGACAATAATTACAGATTGTGCCATAATTTGTGGAGATCTGGTTATTGTCAAAAGTGCTGTGTCGTAATCTTAGGAAAAACAACGAAGAAAGAGGAATACTTTATTTCATCGATTCTATTCTAGTATTGCAAACTGGAATAATTCCATCAAGATATTTATTAACGCACAGCAGTACATAATCAGGACTTAGATTTTGATGTACAGTACGAGAATGGACTCTGTACATAAAACACAAAGAATACTGTATGGGTTCTAATGAATGACAAATAAAAAATAAAATATCTTACAAATATCAGATTTTGTTTGCTTAAAAGTATGCTTAGGATACTTTAACGTTGATTCTTTTAGCCAAACAGTACATTATATATATATTGATATATATTTATTAATGTACACATAAATTTAGTATTGACAAAATGATGAGTATGTGTAGTGACCGCTAATGATATAATGTAGCATAAGGGGATAACTTCACATTCATTGATAATATTTTGTATCATTTTTATCATCGGTGGAAGACAAATAAAAAAAAATCTACAGAGCTCTTTTATTCAATTTTAATAAAATCAAGAAGTTTGTCCATCCTGGTATTGAAGGGTGGCACTTTTAACTGAACTTCGTTGGATATCATATGCTGTCAAACCTGTTTAATGGCAAACATTGATTGTGATGTAATTTTATGTCGAAAGCTTAATCAAGAGCTCCTCAATTAATTAATCGGTACCTGTACTATATTGTTGTGTACTGGGCACGCTGTATTATGATTAATTCATTATCTCAGTTTGGACTTTTTTTCATTCGGATTTATGGACTTGTTTACACAAGTGTTTATTCTGAAGAAGCAAGTGCCCATGTTATTCTGCTTATTATGCTCATCTTCCAATCTCTCCACATATTCGTCCTACGCTCTGTTTCGTTGTGTGATTTACCGAGAGTTTGGATTTCGCAAAATGAAGCCAATCATGAGATCTAAGACGAAATCATAAGATTTTAGAACACAATAATCATCAATTAATGGACTGTGTTTTGAAATTGTGGACTGTAATTTTCAACCTTTCATTTTCCTTGGAAACATCATTAATATCTCTTTTGCACATTTGTTTTATTTTTAATCTTAGAATCCTTTTTGATCCAAAAAAAAGTTCATCGGCCATTTCTGCTCTCCATGACAGTTTTTTTTTATTTAAAAAAAATCATACATTTCACGAATTTTCATCTTTTCACAAAATAATAAATTAGTGAAGTAACCTGGCTGTATAACTCTTTTTAATCCAGGACCAGTTTCTGCCGAGAGCTTTGTCGTCAGCCTAATATGTTTTCCAGTGATAATAACTGCAATACCTCTCAAGTAGAACAAACTATTTATTGACCAGCATTAAGAGGCACACATCACCATTATTCCGATATTATCGATGATTTTTCAACAAATGGTTCTACCACACGTTTTATAATTCGATAATGGAAAACATATTCATTAGGTAATTTAATTCAGTTAATTGAAATCAAACAAATTCTAGAATATAACGAGTACTATCTAATGGTTCTTAAGTAATCAGAGATTAACTATTTATATATCTTGCAAACAGATTATTTTGAAATGAGATATCCAAAAATAAACAGATTTACACATTAAAAATATAATGGAGTTCTCACAACGACTCCCCCAACATATTGAAATGCGGAAAGGACTCTGTTCAGAGAATTTATTTTAAATATTTCATATACAGACAACCCTTTTCATCTTCTTAACTTGAAATAACTATATAAGATAGAAAATGTTGAATTAATAAAAGTGACCATATATCAACGGCTAACTATCTTTTTTATAGATATTTTTGAATTATGTTAAATTCAAAATGTGTTTTTCTGTAATTGTTTATTTTTAAATTAAGTTGTAATTTCCAGGGACATTATGAAATTTAATATACTACGACATTGAGAAAACTGGTCAATCTCATCAATATTAGCTACGAAGGTTTCAAAAAAGGGGAAAAACAATATTAAAGAGGGGAAAATGTCCATGCTATATGACACTTTTTTGTATTTTCAGTAAAAGAATAAGATAAAAATAACTTAAACAGCACAAGGTGCATTTCTGGGTATGCTTCAGTAAATCAAACTTTCAAATTAGGCTCAAGAAGAAAAGGGTTATTTTTCACCGATATTGTATTTTCTTATGAGGTCCTGTTATTTTTTTTTCTCTCGCAATGTCTTTCTGGTTCTAAAGGATCAAGTGATCAACACGATTTCTTTACATAAACAAAGGGAGATACCACGTTATCAACACATTCTGTGACGGATAAGAAGACTATCGTCGTTACTTCCATCAAACATTCGCCATAAATCTGTCTGTCATTCCCTTGGATAGTCTAATATCTGTTTTATGATATGGAGCCGAATTTTCTAATCCAAATATTAATTTTGCTTGATTCAAGTGACACATGTTTCCCCGACACGCTGCTGTATTTAGTGACTGAGTCATTAATATTTGGTCATATCGATACTGCTGAACCTTCACCAGGCGTAATTAACTTCTGTGATCACTTCATAGGGGATCAGCTGTCTTTTCACAGTGTGGATAGAAAAACATCAAAACTAATATTTTTATTCACAATAAAAATGATACTTTAGGAAAATTACTTCGAAATTTACAAAAATATTTTATTTTTTTTATATTTTCCCCATTTTTAAGATAAAAACATTCCATAGAAAGTTCGGCTAGAAAACAGAACATTAAAATTCTATTTAGGTAGGACATGTACGAGGGTTGTTCGGAAAGTTCGTGGAACATGTCAATCTTCGTTATACTATCTTTAAAAAATTTAAAATGAGCACATTATTATATGTAAAAATATTTATTTTGTTGATTTGTGAAGTTCATTCTATGTGATTTAA